TTTTTTTCACGCCACATGTCGCACGACGCTAATCTCGCGAGTTCGTGTCGATCGCTCCTTCCGCATGACTTTTTTTCCTCGCACGACGCGCTTTAATATCGGTAAAGACATGCGAATTAAGCGCGATAGACTGATACTCCTTGTGAACGCGTTGATTCTCGGGGAAAGAGACAGAGAGAAAGAAGAGAGCAACGTCCAAAGCTTATCACGCTCCGTACGCTTCTATGGTATATTTGAGTTGCTCGATTTTTCAAAAAGTTTTATCAGTCCGAGATAGTTTAGGTAGTCGCTCCGTGAAACCACTTTTTTAGAGAATCTTCTCAAAAATGCTTCAACTGTATGTTACAATGGAACTTCTGTCTATATACACGTAAAGTTGGAAAAAGTTCGATATCTCGTCGAAAGTTCGAAAGTTCTTTATCTCGTCGGTGCACTGAGAAAAAAATACTTGAGAATTTATTTGTGGGATATGAAAGTATCGGTTTCTTTACAACATGGTCGAGATATTGTTTAGATAGCATTGTTTGGACATTAATCGATTAAAATGATATTTAATTTTATTAAATCATCAACAAATCAATACACAATCGTCATATATTTAATCTCGAATAACGTAATCAATGGATGAAATTATTAATCAGTGTATAATCAATGAAATGAAAAGTTTGATTAATAATTTGTTTCATCAGTTGGTTAAGTTATGTTTGATTTTATGCATAACGATTGATCAATTTTGGTTATTGATTGGTCGATTATTTTAAGTCAATTAACATTTTAGTGGACCAACACTATCGGGTAGTTGGCTCGTAAAACCATCTTCTTAGGAATCTTTTCAAATTTCAACTGCTGCATTCGCATATGCAGGTGAAGTTAGATAAAGGCTGATTGTTGGAGAGTTAAGACAGTCCTATCTCATTGCTGTGAGTTCCTTGATTTTCCGAAAGTTTCATCATTCGTTTCTTCTTTATACTATCTCGACGACGAGATATTATTTAAGGCTGCGTTCCAAAACGTTTTTTTTTTTTGAAGAAATTTTACTCGATACTCTATAGTATATGTATTTGAGGAAATTTTACTCGATACTCTATAGTATATGTAACATGAACTATTGAGTAAAATTTTCCTCAAAAAGAACTTTAACTGCATGCCACACAATGTGGCATGTGGAACTTCTGTCTATGTTAAAATAGTAAAATTAGAAAAAGGTCGAGCCGTTCGAGAGATACCCTTACCTCATCGGTACACTGAGAAAAAAATACCTGAAAACTTATTTGTGGGATATAAAATTTATTTCTGTGGAATTTGAGATCCGTTTCCGCGAAACAGAATTTATTTCTATGAATAAAATTGATATCCCACAAATGTTGAAGCATTTTTCCTCAATGTGTGACGCGGCGGAGTCGTGCGAGACAAAAATCAGGATGTCCAGGTTTTCTCGACGGTATTGTTTTCTAAAATAAACGACCCACTCTCATCGGATCTCGTGCCACCCCGGGATTATCCTCCGTGGAGGATCCACTCGAGCAGGAATACCCGACAGCGCGATTCAATGCGGTTCGTTTCGGGTTTCGCGCAGTTCGGTAGTACACGACGCGACACGTGAAGGCAATTTCCTGTGTCGCACATCAAGCACCGACCTGCGAGATTCCGAATTTAGGGCAATCTTCTGCCGGTCGCACGTGAGTGCGCGTGTGAGTGTGAATACGAATGTGTGTCCGGTAACTCGGCCTCGCTAGCGGTGAGACGACGCGTCTCTCCTCCTTTTTCTTCTTTCTTTTCCGTCTCTCGCGATATTCAAGCTCGACGACGTCGTCGCCGACTGTCGTTGGTCATACGTGGATGCGCGCGTCCGTGAGAGACCGGATATTTTCATTGCGCATTTAGCGGCCACGTACTGTAGCCTGCCGAGTCTCGAATGTTTAGAGGATGAATCTATTTCAGTTGAGTTGCCAGCCTTGCGTTACACATTTTAACGCTAAACGTGGCCGTCGATTTTTCTCTCGTTACGACATTGAACGTTATTGGACATTGCACGGGAGGGTTCGCAACGTCGGCCGCGTTGCTCCAAAGGTCGTGTCTTTGCGGTTGGTCGAGCAGGGGAGAGACGGGTCATTAATCTGTAAAATCGCGCTGCGAAAGTCCGCCTGTCTTTCTCGATTCGTTTGAACTTGTTTCATCGTTGTTATTGCTATCGTCGTAAAATTACAGTATCAAGAGCAGTTCCACAGCAGTACAGAGACTCCGAAGTATATCTTTCCCCTTCGTTGTTTTCACACGGAATATTTTCGATGTTCCGAGACGTAAGAAACTGAGAATTCAGGTATACTTCAAACTCGCTCTCTTCCGAGAAATTTACATAGATACGGCACACGTCTCTGATTTATTATAATTTACGTATGTCCACGATATTCGCGAACGCGCGTGAGAAAATGTCTAGAGTTAGGAGGATTATAACTGACAAATATCGCATTGACAGTACAGCCGACCGAATAGGGAGTAACTGTAAAGGTGATGAGCAAAAAGAACCGGTACTTTAATAATTGGTTGCGTAAAAAAATAACCGGTTTAGCAAATCGATGTTGGATCCGATTACGTGCGATTGTAACGATTCAAACGTCGCTCGTTCTTCTGGCCGCGTGGGAATGTCTGATTTCCGCGAACGGGCCGCCATGCGGCAACAATTCGCATATTATTTTCACAAAAGTATCCAGATACACGCGAATATCTCTGCGACCGTTGTATCGCGCGGCTAATTATTACTCCCGTTTCGACTGTGCGATTATGCAAATCGGCTGTTCTCTTTTAATCAATCGTGAATATTCATCCTCTGGAAGCGACGAAACGGCGAGTTTCTTCCTGCAGATGTTTCTCGCGAGATTGTTAAACATTCAAGAGGACCCAAACGGCTCGACATACCTCGTCGTCCTACTTGAATTCCATCCCCGGTCGAGCGTTCTGAGACACCCGGTAGAGTTGGCCGGACGGGCACGACCTCCGTCCGACGCACAGTCGGCGGCGAAGTCGTCCGACCTCGGCCGAGCGACGCGCGACGACGACGCGGGGTTCGAGAGATCGGTCGAGGTGAAGCAGGAGGGCAGGAGGAAGGGTTGGCTTGGGGAAGAGTGTGGAGGGGGCAGCGAGGAAGGGTTCATTGACCGTCTGACCATGAGCCGCGCCCCACATACACGCTCCCTTCTCCACCTATCCTCGCCCATGGGTTTCGGTCGTTTTGCTCTCACGACGGTCTTGCGAGCAAGATCAAAGCCGTCTTCCCGGGGAAGGTCCTTGCCTCGTCCGCGGAAGACCTTCGTCGTGGAGAGGATGGAATCTCTCGAAATCACAGGGTGTCCTGAAACTATCGGACGCGCTCTTTTCAAGTCGGTCTCGGAGACTTGCGTCCGTGAATTAAAGGTTGGAACCCTGATCAATTTTTTAACAAGGCGAGTCGAGATCGGAATTGATTTTTCACTCATTTCCAATCTATAATTCGCAATTTTCGACAGTTAGACGCGAAAGAAATGCTGTTATATTGATAGAAATAACGGCGCTATAATTGGAGTAAGTTCTCTTGATTTAACGACAATATTATCGAAACTAATGTATTACATTTTGTTTTGATAATTCGAGTCTTAATTTCAATGATGTCGCGGTATTTGGAGACTAAGGATTGAAGATTGAAACTTGATCAATTTGAACCAAGCAAGTCAAAGTTGAAATTGACTGTTTCGCTAATCTCTGACTTTTAATTCACAATTCTTAATTTTCGATGCTTGCACGAAAAATAATGCTGTTGTATCGATAACAATTGGTGAACAGCAACATAATGGAGTATATCGTCTTGATTGAATAGCAATATTACTGAAACTAATACATTATGGATTGTTTTAGTAACTCGGGTATTAGATTTAATAATACAGTTATTGAATCAAGAAGATTCATTTCAATTACGTCGCTGTTGACCAATTCTATTGATACCACAGTATTTCTTTCCGTGCAGTCTGACGTGGGCTTGATCATAGCATGTGGGCCGCAGAGACAGTTTTTTTCCGAGAACGTGTTAACGATATCATTGACACGTTCTCCGCGTACTTCGTATCGCTAGTGCAGTTTGTACAGTCGTTGCGGTCGCTGACTGTCAAACGGCTTGGACGGGGACGACTCATTCCTTCCTTTGATCTCCCTTTTTACTCGCGTTATTTGGCAGGGTCTAATCGTGGCGGATCGTCAATGACTGTCGTTTGATTCATGAAACGTTTGCCGCTACACCACGATCCTATCCTTGAGCCATTTGATTCGAGTACGTTAACCGGAGTGGAGGATTCGCGTGCGCCACTTATTGAACGCGCACGAGCGGGCGAGCGCGAGTAGAACATTCTCTAAAATTGCGATCGCATGCGCAATTACCATTGTAAACGATATATGTGGGTCACGGTAGCGATGAAAGGAACGTCCTCGAATATTATCGAACGAGTTCATTGCGAACGCGGTGCGTCGCCTATCAAAAGTGATTGGCCGTGATTGACGCCGACGTGCTGAAATTTTCGTCGCGTGCACGCCGCAAAACTCGCCAGAGCTGTCAAACTTAAGCGACTCATATTCAATATATAAGGCTCTGTGGTAGATACGTAGTAATTGTATGCATTATATTAGGATTGTGCCTCCATGAAAGTGATCAAGTATTTCAAAGTGGAGAAACATGTGTTTTAGTTTATAGACAAAACTATTATTTCTTGATCAATGATATAAAAAAATCGGATACTTTATTCACAAATAGCACATTGAGGAAATACTATTTGTATACTATACACAGCTCAAGTAGAAACTGATAAGGATAAGAATCTTATAGATACTTGATTCATTTATATGTGAGCACTTCTAATAAATAAATAAATAAATAAATATATATATATATATATATATATATATATAATTTATTAATATTTAAGATTATGACAGACACACGTGAGAGATTCATTTTAGATTTCATGTGATTTTTGCAGCTTCCTCAAGGAAGATCTGTGTGCTGTGATTTATCACTCAGGGGGCCAAAACACGCGCAACAACGGACAACCCCACAGGACCGGGGGGTGCTTCTCGTGTCTCGGGAGGAAGGTCAGGATCCACAAAGTTAACGTTCGGCCATAACAAACGATACTCGCGGGAGACCACTTACTGCTAAAGCATCCGCGATTAGACCAGATAAAAAAATATCTTGCTCTCGTTAGTTACACGTGACCATTGAAATCAGTAAAATTCGATGCCTTCCAGGGACGATATTCGCTCCCTATCCACTGAGCAACGCTGGATCCCTCCTTCAACTGTTAGACGCGATGCACTCACCCCAGAAAGCCGAAATGATCTCATCTTTAGAAAGGTGCGGGGTATTCTTAACAAGCTCACACCGGAAAAGTTCGCAAAGCTGAGCAACGACCTGCTCAACGTTGAGCTTAATTCCCATGTGATTCTTAAGGGTGTTATTTTCTTGGTAAGTATGACGCAAGTTTCGCAAAACGGCGCGCAAATAGATGACGATATTGTCGCGTTCGGTGATGGACGCCTTTGGTAAATCCGATAAAAAGAAGAAAGGCCAATATTTCTCGTTAAATATGGAAACGGCCGCTCCTGTGCATTTATTAACGGAGAATAACGGAACTTATTCTTGGAACAGTTTTTGCAAAGCTTTAACGTTACATTTCTCAACGATCGTGTGTGTGTTCTCTCTTTTCTCCTCTACAGGTCAAGACCTCCTTTGAGATCTCCGCTTAAGGTCATTTCAGTTTTCGATAAGCAAACGCGTGCATTACCGAACGCTCCCTCTCTTTTTTTCTATGCACATTGTACACAAGCTTTCCGGATAAAAAAAAGAAAGAAAAAATTATTTTCCTCAGATCTTCGAAAAAGCACTTGATGAACCCAAGTACAGTTCTATGTACGCACGGCTGTGCAAACAGCTGTCTGACGAAGCCGCAAACTTTGAACCCCGAAAACCGATCGATGAAAGTCAAAAAGGCCAGAGCACATTCAGAGTTCTTTTACTTAACAAGTGCAAAGACGAGTTTGAAAATCGTTCAAAAGCAAGCGAGGCGTTTGAGAATCAGGATGAGTTGGGTCCCGAGGAGGAGGAGCGCCGGCAGGTGGCCAAGCGCAAGATGCTTGGTAACATCAAGTTCATCGGGGAGCTCGGCAAGCTGGGAATCGTGTCGGAGACGATTTTACATCGTTGCATCCAGCAGTTGTTGGAGAAGAAAAGGCGAGGGGGATCCCGGGGGGACACTGCGGAGGATATCGAATGTCTCTGCCAGATTATGCGTACCTGCGGCCGTATCCTTGACTCGGATAAGGGCCGCGGACTCATGGATCAATACTTCAAACGTATGAACTCCCTGGCGGAGAGTAGGGAACTTCCTCTACGCATTAAATTCATGCTGCGCGATGTGATTGAGCTGCGCCGTGACGATTGGAAACCACGCAAGGCCACCAGCAGCGAGGGCCCGATGCCCATTCATCAGATCCGCAACGACAACGAAGAGCCTTCGAGGGGAAACGGTTTCCACAGACGGGACGATCGCCTCGGTGCGGAGTTTTTACGAAAGATGGGACGAGGCGCACTAGATGTCGATGGGATGATGGGAGGTATCCCACTGACTTCCTCCTCATTCGGTATATCATCACCATTCAGCCCGAATGGATTCGCAGGGACACCCGGCGGGGTTGGTTACGGCCGACCTAACCAACGTAATCAACCGGGTTACTATCCGAACCAGAGTCGTCATCAGAACAATTACGAAGGGAAACGCAACCAACCGCAACACAATTTACCGCAGAATTTCAACAATAGTAAGCATACGCACAGTTCTCATTTGACTGATTAACTCGCACGAGTGCATCCTACATCTCGACTTCACACCTGTGTTTGTCTGTGTTTTGTCTATTGCAGATAGCAATAAAGAGCAACTGCGATTCAACAAGAACAAGATGCTGATCGGAGGTCATCCGGAAGAAGTATCTCTGAGACCCTCAGCCAATTCGATGATGTTCAAACAGACTAACATCAATTTGAACCTACCTCTCAATAATGGTAAGTCTTTTTATCTCTTTATGTCATCGTCTGAATTGCTCTGATGTTAATAATTTAATAATAATTGAGTAGTAATTCACTAATTGTCTGTAGCACAATTTTAGTTGTTGAAACTTTACATTATGTTGTTCACGAAAATTTGACAAATTTTATACTCTACTTTGCGAGCTAATAGACATTCTAATGGCAAAAATAATAGATTTGTTCCCAGGACGAGGTTCAGACTTGCCTCTCTTACGTACTGCCACTCTGAAGCCCAGCTCGCCTCTACTGCATAAAGAGGCACCACCTGCTATTGTAATTAAGCAAGGTCCCGTAGACAAGAGAGAGAAAGCTCGGGACAGAAAAGACAAAGGACCCACTCGCGAGGAAGTGTTGAAGAAGGTTAACGCCCTAATGGACGATCTCACGTCCCACACGAACGTGCAGGACGCTCTGACAGCCTTCAAAGATCTTAAGATTCCCGAACGATTTCTGCGCCATGCAATTTACACGCTGTATTCGAACACGCTGGATCGCGGGGATTCGGAGCGCGAGCTCGCCTCCAAGCTCGTGGCCGACTTGAAGAAGGAGAACCTGCTCACTCTGCAGCAAGTGAGCGAAGGATGGAAGGAACTCGTATCCAGTATATCGGAGAAGGAGAGTACCGTGCCTTGCGTAGCATCCCACGTTGCCTTCCTGACAGCCAAGGCCATAGTGGACAATCTGATCCAGTTGACGGATCTTGCCTCGGAAACGGAAAATGGTCGTCATCACCCGCTGTTCCTGCTGACGCTCCAGCAACTACATAAGACACAAGGCAAGGCGAGACTCACGCAGATTTTCAACGACAGCAAGGTGGATCTCATCAGTCAACTGCCAGAAGCAGAGAAGACGAAGGAGCGACTGGGCGAAATCTTGGAGGACAGAGAATTGACTTTCCTCTATCCCCTTCTCAGAATCCAAGGGGACATGTGGCGTCAACTAGAAGCCGATCCAGCGCCTAATGCTCTTTACAAATGGATTAAGGAGAAGCTGGACCCCCAACATCACTCCGATCCCGCGTTTATTAACGCTATGATGAACGTACTTTTCAAGTACATCACTCAGGTTAGTTTCGTCGACTATCGTCGAGTACCTCTTGTCGTCGGTTAAATTGATTAACTAAGTAAAACAGAAACATGAAATTAGGTGTACTTAACTATATATTGAAATTATTATATCTGATAAAGGATCGAGTAAGTCATTTCTGAGTAGATATTAAGGTGTCTGCTTTATAATTTCTTAACCTTTGTTTGCAATGATAGGAGACAACACTGGCACCTGGCGTTGATCCAATCGTGAATCCGGAAAAACAACTGCAAGAGAAGGAAAGTGCGCTACTGCAGAAATATGCACGCTTCATTCGCACATTCCTAACTACCATCGACTCGCAAGTTACGGCTCTCCACGCGCTTCAAGTGTTCTGCTTCTCGCACAATTTCCCGAAAGGGCTGCTGCTGCGATGGTTCATAGCACTTTACAACCTTGAAGTCATCGAAGAGGAAGCCTATCACAAATGGAGAGAAGCCGTCACCGATGCTTATCCTGGCAAGGGCAAAGCATTATTCCAGGTATGTAAATACAATCGTCAAAACAATTTCGCAAGCTATTGCCGATTCACGTTTCTATTCTTAAACTTGATTACTTTCTAATAGAATTAGCGATTTTATGAAGAGTTCCTTTTTCTTCTTGTAAATTAAGTCTGTTCTTCATAGCTGCATTAAGCTGCACTTAAGATAAAGTATTAGGTTGATGCACAAAAGGTTTGTCATATTTGTGAAATAAAATAGAAAACAAACTTATCTAATTTCGAAGAATTAATTATTTTTACATTGATTCAGTATTTTTTAGATATTTAATGATTTCGTATCTTCCTTTCAATATCCAAACATTCTACGAGAATTTAATAGAGAAAATTGCACTACAATCTCTAATAGATAAGTATTTAACATGGAAGAAAGCAGAAATATATGAAATGATTAGAACAGGGCTCGGAACAGTTTGCCAATTTCGGCCGATTCTCGGGAACTACGCCTTCTATCTCCCCCTTGCCGCGCGGCAGACTATGTAAGTGACGGTTGTGTTTCTAAGCTTGGAGCCGCGACTGATCGCGACCGTCACTTGCGTGGCCCGCCGCGCGGCAAGAGGGAGATAGAAGGCGTAGCTCCCAACAATCGGCCGAAATTGGCAAACTGTTGCGAGCCCTGGATTAGAAGATAGTTTAGAAAGCGCAGCTTTAAAGAACAGACTTATTTTGCGTGTAACACAGTAGCTCTAGCTTGATTAATTTCTTTAATTAATTTGTAATAAATGAAGCTACAGTTTACATTGTAAATAGTAGCTCTAGCTTGATTAATTTCTTTAATTAATTTGTAATAAATGAAGCTACAGTTTACATTGTAAATAGTAGCTCTAGCTTGATTAATTTCTTTAATTAATTTGTAATAAATGAAGCTACAGTTTACATTGTAAATAGTAGCTCTAGCTTGATTAATTTCTTTAATTAATTTGTAATAAATGAAGCTACAGTTTACATTGTACTTTATAAATAGGTTATTAAAACTTTTTTATCACAGTTATCTTGATTGATGATGTTTATTGATTATTGATGATTAAAGCGAGAAAATACATGCACAAAAAAGAAGTGAACTGAAATGTTCGCGAAACCACAAAGAAACCAACTTGGGAAATTGCATTTCTCGACATAGCGAAAGTTTCAAATATTAGATACATGTATAAAACTGTTGCAAAATACGTTGAAATAAAAAGATGTGTCCATAAAGTTATTTACTATCGATTTGAACAGATTTGTAAGATATTTGGAAAATATTTTTTACTCTAACATTCCATAAATAATCGTGAAATTAACACGTGACACGTAACCTACTTTTTTTACCATGTGATTTTGTCACGTTACTCCTATGGTTATTGATTATTAGTATAAAGAGAAAGTTCTCGATATGTTTTGCACATCTGCTCAATCAATCGTGTCATTTTATGAACTTACTTTTTCTTCCAACAGTTTTTCTCAGAATTTTCACGCATGTATTTTCTCACGCGTCTGCTATCATTAATCAAGATTGTTGGTACAAAGGAAACAAGAGTTTTAAGAATGTCATCGAAAGATAAGCAACAATGATAACACGTTGTATGAGAAAATTGCCACAAAATAACAGAAAATATTAATCGAACATTATGTTGAATTTTTCGATCAATATTTGATCAAGAACAGTCATGATTAAATGGCTCGAAAATTAATGCGGATGCATTTGTCATGTATAGGTAAATTCATGGTTAACATGGCTTGCCGAAGCATCGGAGGAAGAAGAAGAAGACGATGAAGACGAGAAGAATTAATGGCAAGAGCCTCAAGAGCATTATTCAGACTACCTATGATTTTGAATAGGATTTTACTATCATTATCGCTGAACCACAGAAAGGGTTTCAGTTTTACTAATTGAGTTATCTCTATCCAGAGTTACAAACATCTTGTTAGTCTGTCTCAAGCCCTCTCGCGTGATCGAAAGAAAGGACTTTACAATCATGTTTGGAAAAGGAGTAGTTCGTAGGCAGTGGAGTGGTTACGACAGACATTGCAGACAAGACGTTTTAGAATTTTTTTTTTAGATAATTAAATATCAAAATATAATTTATGAAGAAAAAAGAATTATTGGGCCGCACAGCAGATTAAAAATATCAAGAGTTTACTACGCCGCTGTATGATCACCGGCGAAACGTAAAAAAAAAGAAACAAGAGAAAATTAATCTGGTGATTTGTGTTGTCCAAGTTTTCGTCTAGTATTGTGCATGTGTCACGTTTTGTAAGTCTCTTTATTTGTCCGCAGAAACAAGTGCAGTCGTTTGTATCTCTGTGTACCAACTTTTACATTTATTATGAGGAATTATTATGATTATTACCATATTATTAGTATCAATTATTAATATTATTATTCAATTATACATTATTGATTACACAATAATCGAAATGTATCTACATCTTCCTAACGAAAAAAAAAACACGAAAAAAAATAATACGAAATTAATCAGAACACTGGGTCAGACTCAGTAACGAGAAGGAAAATTTCATCGAGTGAGGTGCACATTTCGTTTTTTTCTTTTTTCGATGCGGGAACGAAATCTTTAGATCGCGGTTATTAGAGACAATTGAGTTTAAACCAATCAGCTATAAAAGAGAGGAAAAAGTAATCAGGAGAAAAATCAACACCGTTTGCCTGTGTACCTATCTGCTGCGCCACAATTCTAATAAGTATACTAATTGATTATTACAGTTATAACAACCAGCAGCCAACATCACATCCATTTAAACGTAATTAATTAGCCAACACTAGTGACACGACTAAATCGTATTTAAAAAAAAGGTGGAAAAAAATAAATACGCCTTGGTGTAATTTATTACAGATGGCCCCCTGGTTGTTGTGTTGTTGCGCTTGATGACCAACCACTATCATTACCATCACCACCATCACCACTACTATCACCACCACCACCACCACCACCTCAACCACCATCATTACCATCACAATCACCAGTACCACCTCACTTCACCTCACCTCACACTTCCCGTCTCACACAAACATTATCGTATTTTCTTTTCCTCTTTTTCTGTTTTCCGTTTTTGATATCTCGTTCGTACCGAGTCACGCGGATCGATATGCGTGTCGATCATCTCTCGAGGATAATCGCGCGCGTATCGATTGAAGTCATGATGATAGATAGCAGGTACCAGGAAAAATTGAAAGATAGAGAGAGAGGGAAAGAGCGGCGGATGTATTTCCCGTATCGTCGTCGCTCTCGGTGTGATTAAAGCGATTGTAAATCTGCAGACCGGCTGCGAAATGCCGACAATTGTGAAGCGCTGAGGATGCAAGTGGCCGTGAGTCATACGACGTATCACACGAGCCACACGAGATAACGAAGCGGAAGTTACTGTTTTGTAGAGTTAATTGTTTTTCCATTCAAGTTGAAATGTTTCCCCGAAATCGGACTCCGTCCACCTGTGTGTTCTCAGCGCTCCAATTGAGCCTGAGGTATTTTGTGCAATAACGTCTTTTCGACGCGATCATCATTTCTTTTCTTCGTTCGATGGAGACGCTCGTTTTTTGAGCTCCACGTTACGGACGATCTTGTAATTGGCGACGGTTGTTCTTGACGAAATTTTCCCGCGACGTCGCGAAAATTCTTTCGCGTGCCGTGTAACGGAGAACAAACGCCCCCGAAGATTCGCAGGTGTAACGCGATACACGTAGAACTGCCATTCCGCCGAGTCTTCGAGGTATCCTCTCGCGAGTTAGGATTCCGTTGCAAATTCCAGATCGTCCGCAATGGGCACACCGCACCCTTCCCCCCCTGTACGTTTATCAGTTCTTTCTTCGTAGTAACTTATCACAAACGTGTATCCTTATCGGAACTGTAACTGCCGAGAATGTATATGTATAGATCGAAATGTGTCGATATACCGCGTGAGAATTTTGGATACAACTATTGTCGTGTTGGTGTGTGATGTTTGTCGTTAGAATATTGTACATACATATATACATAACACACATATATCCCATGTTATTTCACGGTTTCTATCATAGTTTTATACCGCCGGACTGAAAGTGTGTTCCTCTCTCTGCTTAAACTTTTTATTTCGTTTTCTTCTCCTCGAACGGCATCTCTGTTCGCTCCCCTCACCGATAGAACGGCTGACAATGTACTGCTGTATTGTATCGCGGAGCGTCGCCAAGCTAAGATCCGTATCGTTATCGCTCACGAACTTTAATCACGTCTTCATCGAGATGCCGCACTTTATCGCACGGGTTATATGCATTATTCGCGAACCGGTTTGGCAGCACTCGAGCATACGCACCGAATGCCGACGAACGATTTCTCCGGGTTTTTTGCGCACACCGAGGTGGCATAAAGTGAATGAGAGTAGTTCGTAATGTTCAACGAAAAGAAAAGAAAAAAGAAAGAAGCAAGATTCGTTCGAGAGAATCCAGTAATAAAATGTCATGTACCACAGCGTGTGTATTCTCGCAAAAGTAATAATAATGTGTCCTCCATTTTCGTTGTAGTAGACTTCGAAAAAAAAGAGAGAGAGAGAGATAGAAAGAAAGAAAGAGAGAGAATATGCGTATATCCGACCCCACGTCACGCGCGTTGCGAGCAAAAGTTTTATGTTTTGATGAAGAGAGAGAAAGGAAAAGGGAAAAATCACGAAATGTCCCTTTTTGCGCGTAAGAACGGGACATTTGCGACACGTTCAATCGATGTAACACGTTGAATATGTTTAGTGGACTCTCGCGTGTTGTATTATTCACACACACACGACGATGTTCGCCGGTTGAATTATTAACACATGCATAAGCACCGTGCAAAACGTGCATAAGATTTGTTCCGTTTGTTTACGACAACGTTACAACAACGTACGCGAGTACACGATCTGCCTGCCGCCCATTTTTTCCGTTCACGATATCATGTCATGAGGTCTGCTCGTTTTTGAAGAATTTCCGAATTAGTGCGTACTAGTGCAATAAGTTAGAGCGAAAGAAAGTACCTAGATAGCACAGAGAATTCGAAAAGAATCAAAAAAGAATTCAGTCGTATGTCACCAATTCTGAGCTTATTTTCAGATGCAAAAAGAATCCCTCAAAGTTCAGTTCAGTGAAAAGGATTCTTTTTGCATCTAAAAATGAACTCAGAATTGGTGACTGAATTCTTTTTGAATTCTCTATGCTATCTGGGTATACTCGTTTCACTCCCACTTGTTGCACGAGTGCAGCTCTTCAAAAACGTACGGACTTACAAGAGTAATGACGTTACTGTGTGTACTCCAATTTTGTTAATTTATTTCTTTTCCCAAACATATGTGGTATATCTACAGTTCCAATTGAATTTATACATACATACATACATACATACATACATACATACATACATACATACATACATACATACATACATACATACATACATTCATACATACATACAAACATATATACGTACGTACGTAACAAGCGCGCGTACGCATAATCCAATACGCCTCGAGATCATTGTATAACATCTTCAGTATTATTTCTCGTATGATGAGCTACGTTGTGTAGAGGAATCTTAGTTTTTTTTTTCTCTTAGATACTAAACCGACAAAAGGAAAAGGAAAAATCGCATCTTTTCTCTGTCAATAAAAACAATTGTTCTTAGGACCATTCATTCTTTATATATCTGTGTGTAACAACCGTCATTCTCTTCTTTCACCATCTCGTCCCCTGTCAAGCGCGCCGACAGGATCGCAACGATGATCGATGTGTGATTGTTTTCGCAAAAGTTAAAAAATTTCACGCACACAAGCACATTGTGTGTCCTGCATTTCGGTCGATTTGTGCTGCAATTCTGAACAGAATCCTAATTCTCGTGAAATACGTAAGAGCCTGTGAATAGATCTACAATTTTATGCGTACCATATGTTGCACTTGTAAATATCGTAAATTACGTGAAGTCATAGATATTTACGAGTGATCGTATGACACACGATACATAGAATTATAGATCTATTCGTAAGTTCTTACGAATTTTACGAAAGCGAGTTACGAATCTTACGATTACGTTTAGAATTGCAGCATTAGTCTTTGCATAACGGGGACGATCACAGAAATAGCGAGGAATGTGCCTTTGTTGCATAATGTTTACTTATCTGTTTAAATATCTATCTAAAGCAGAGTGAATATGTTATTGTGTCTATTCCTATTAGTGTGCCTTTGTGTATTGTATTTAAATAAGCCATAAAAATTAGCATAAATATAGAAAAAATATTTTTTATTAAGTTTAATACTTTAACTTAATTTAAAAAAAAACGCTATTTGTGCTAGTTTTCGTCTTATGACTTATATTTAAGTAGAAAGGCACACTAATAGAAACAGGAGCAGTAATATGGACAACTACCCCGAGTACCCGGACTCTCCAAATTTCTTAGAGTGAAATTTCGCTCGAACAACAAAGTGACAGCCTGATTTTTCAAACTCGAGCGATTCTTCACTTATGTAAGGTGAATTCTTCATTCTAAGGAGTGAATCTCGTGTATTTCAACGTCACAGGAGCACACATTCGCTCTGATCGAGTGATGGATTAGGAATCCACTCCAAGTTCGACTTAAACTCTCGTGATTAGTGGCAGTATCTTCACTATCGCTCCAAGTGAATCTTCACTCGTCTCCAGTGAGATTTTACCTCAAGAAATTCAGGGAGAGAGTTGTGTAAACTTATCATGGCGAATACGGCAAGACGCTAATACTTACTTGAATGATACTTACCGTGTAAACGAGTCGAGTGTGTGAGACGTCCGCGTTTCTTGCGGACGAGTCGATGCGTCAATGGATGTGCTTGAAAGAACTATCTCTCCTCTCCCCGTCATCCGGCTACGTAAGCCGTGCAATTACGAGTATTACGCAAACGCGATTGCGGCGGTCTCGTGAATGAAGTTCGCAAAAGTACACATCACGATTCGAATGGACAAGTTCATATTTTTATTTCCACTTTCGGAGAGTCAGATTGAAAACATCGTGAAACACACAGCTAACATTCGCGTTTTTCTCTTTCGCAATTCTCTCTGTCTACCTTCCGACGTTCGTTCTGTTTTGTTCCTTTTTTCTCTGTTAGTTTTTTCGTTCTCTTTGTCGGGAGACTATGTCGGCCGATCCGAACGAATGAACACACGCGAAGCGTTTACGCTACATCAAAGTATATCGCAAAGTCGCAGCAGAATGTGCATCGGTGGCGAGTGTGTACGTGTGCATGTGAGCAAGCGCATGTGTGTGCGTGTGCGTATACCGCTTCCTCTCCTTTTATTTCTGATTGTGTGAATGGCAGTGATAAAAATGGATATATCAAATTTATGCGTTACGGCTATTGTTTTGTACTTATACACTACACGACGTGTGTGTGTGTATATACATATATATATATGTATATATATATGTATGTATGTATGTATGTATGTATATACAGAGTGTCCCGGAACGAACGGGTCAATTTGTAAGGACAGACTCCTCCGGCTATTTCGAACAGCTGACTTGCTGCTCCCACGCAAGAAGAATCGCTCCACGAAGGGGCGGGGGAGTGGAAGGAAAGATAGAGATCATGAGGCCACATTCCACGCTCGCAATTTCGAGTACGTATATTTCTTGAATTCTTAAACGTTGGCACGCAGCGCAGGAGGATTCGCAATTACTTTCGGCGGAATCGGAGGGTGACAATGAACACAGACGACGACGACTTTATCCCCGACACTTTCGACGTGGAGGAATCTGTCAGCGGGAATCGATCCGTTTATTTCGGGACGAGCACCCTGCGTTTTCTAGGTGATAACTCCGATGGTTGAAAGTGAGCACCGATACCGTTTGTCCAAATGAAATTTTTATTAAACACGGTTTTTCTGTAACATCGAGGACGAATTATAACATAAATAATCATCGATCAGTATCACTTTTTTTCGCGCTCAACAATGAGTCTATTTAGTAACACTGGAAGATAATAGAGTTTGGTAGAGGGCGGGGGGCGGCGGCGGTGACAGCGATCTCTGCTCTCTGCCGAAGGTGCATCATTTATCTTTCTCTCTCTCTCTCTCTCATACACATACGCGCGCGACTCGCTTCATCTTTTTCGTTCACTCGCTCTCTCAGACACGCGACGCACACATATATCTTTCGCAATATAATATTTCAATATTATTAACGTTCACACTCAGCTACACGAGGTTTTGGTATACAACAATACCTAACCTAATCTAGCCTAAAGTTGTAATTGTTTATATAGCGTGAAGCATTGTGGTGGTACATATGTATATACATCGCACACGCGCGCATTGCACAACTACAATTGAATTCCCGGATTACCTTGTAAGATTTTCGTTCTCTTTCCGTCTTCGTTCTTTCGCTCTTTTTTTTTCTCTCTCTCTCTCTCTCTCTCTCTCTCTCTCTCTCTCTCTCTCTCTCTCTCTCTCTCTCTTTTTCGGTTTCGATTGTGTGGAATAACGGGACAACGGGAGAGACAAGAATGTGAGGGGGAAGAAGGACAGTTGGCGGTACAAGTAATTACGTTCGCATTAGTATAGTGCGCCTGCGTTTCCTCGAGCGTAAAGTGACCAGAATGAAGGTCGCTCCCGTTGCAACAAAGCGGGAAGAAAGGAAAAGAAGAAACGGTAAACGGAGCACCATCACCACCACTACCGTCGCCACCACCGCTCCCCGGATCGCTCGTGCGTTCTCCCTTCTCTCTTCTTTTTCCCTCTTTCTTCTTAGCGACGCGCTGGTTTTACACGAGTTCCAGAAAATCGTGATTTTCCTTCCACGTCCGTTGACCGCACCTGCTAGTCCAGGAACTTCATTCTGAGCACACAGTGAGCGCTAAATATGCCTTTTTAATTCCAAGTTACATACATCTCTCATGTGAGCGTCACGTGTAACGTTTCAGCTTGAGAATCAAAAGGGTATATTTGGCGTTTAATGCATCCAGAATATGGTCCCCGTTCTCGTTACCGACGATGTTGAGTGACTATTGTAGTTTTCTTCAAATATAGGCGCATCTTCGAGGCGAGCTCCGTCTGACTGTTCACTTTCTTCAGTTCGCTCTTCAGACTGACTGGTATTTGTCGGTAAGTAGAACACAGAATCGTCTGGATTTTCCTTTTTCTCTCTCTTTCTCTAGATACTAGATTCATCGACAACGTCATCCGTCTTTCTCCGCCGGAAATGCGTCTATACTCTGTGTGTATGTGTGTCTTAGGTAGAAAATACTGCACAGTCAAAGGGGCAAGCGGGCGCTCCGAGTTGCTTTTCTGCTTCTCTGCGCTTGTTGTACCTATTCTCCCTTCTTTCTTGTTTGTTTGTACGTACTCGAACGTGCGTGATTGCTATGGAGAGAGGTGATGGGCCGATCGTCCCGGCTGGTATACGCGCGCATGAAGAGCTGATTGTCAGCTCCCAATGACAATCCACCCAACGATGCTCGACGCGTCTCGGAATTTGTCTATCTGTATCTGCCCCATGTAAGTAATGCGTTTGTGTGATGTGTGGTGCGGTCGATCGGTCGGTATCGTCGAATTTGTCACGAACTAGCGCGCAGCGCCGATAATCTATTATTCTTCTTTCCTTCCTTCCTTCTCTCATCGCCATTGCAAACGCCCGCTCGCCTGAACGTGTTAACTGAACGAACTTAATATTGGAATGTACAAATTATCCTCCGTTTATATGTCGTTATCATCGTATATCTATATGTATATAACTTTTCTCCTTCTCCGGTTGTCATTGATCTCGCTGACTGACTGATCGTTTTCGGTGTGTGTATTTGTGTTCGCCTGACGATGGTACAATACATACGGTGTCTTATTCGTGTTCAGTTTCCCAAACAAGCTTCTCACATATACACACCCGTTACTCCATTGACATACGACGACGTTCACAGTTACGATGTGTGGATATAATATGAGTCGGGGATAAAAATCTCGTTCGGCTAATCGGGGATGTGTTTACCACCGCTGGCCTTTCGCGGCTTCAACGCGATCACTCGATTAAGCGAATCTGTTTCTCTATCTTTCGTTCTCTCTCTCTCTCTCTCTCTCTTTCTTCTTTTCTCTTCTGATATCGCGTTGCGTATCGTTGTCCATGAATAACCGTGAAAATGTGAAATCCAGCCGCGTCCAGCAGCTCTCAATTGACTTAATACTATCGTGTGTATCCGCTGATCAACTACTCGCATTCATACCTTGTTCTCTCTCTTTATATACCCTTTTCTCGTTTTTCCCTTTCACTAAGGTCTCATCCATCGTACCGTTCTTCGTCGATCGACTTCTGACGTTGTACTAATTTCCGTTCGCGCGAGATCTCACAAACTTCTCTTGTTTTCATTCTCTTTCATTTTCTTTCTCTTTTTATGGATATTACGCCGTTTACCACACGCAATTGGCGTGCCGCCTACACTTATATACTTCTACCATCCGATGATATAATTTCGTTTTTCTACTTTTTCTTTTATTCGCTCATTCTCTCTCTCTCTCTCGCTCGCTCTCTCTCACATACTGCCTATGCTTGTCGCTTCGATTGCATTGTAATATGTATATGTATATAATTGTGCTAAATATTCTTTTTATCAATAACACGTTTTTTTTTCTCTTTATACACTCAGTAGAGCCGATTAACTTCAACTGTTAATTCAATGTCGTTACTACGCTACAAATGATTACTATACAGTGAAAGAGAAATGTTCGGCATGGGATTATATGGGAGATCTTCTCTGTATCTTTCTCTCTCTCTCTTTCTTCCATTTCTTCCTATGCGTATGGTATTCCCCTGTCGCCCATGTTGTTGTCCTCAGTTGCCGTTCCTTTTCCTTTCTTCTTATTTTTGGCTATACACTCACTCCTCGTGAGACCGCGGCGTCGAGACGTGTGCGCCGTGTCTCGAGTCTCGCCGGTAAATTTAGTCAAGCGGGCGGGTATTTCTCGCCGATCGCGCAACACCTTTCCAATGTATGATTATGCGACTTATGTGATGAGTAATGCGCGGTGGTTTAAATGCTCGGACGCTAAGATAGATCGACTTCGAGTACGATATTACAAGAAGGACGCGCGGAGATGAGTCGACGGTGTCTTTTCATATCTTTTTTTTTTCCTCTTTTCTTTTCGGCAGGTAGATAGGTGGATAAGGTAAAATGTATGTATGCATCATGGAGTAACGTGATTTTAAGTAAAATGTCAAAACAAGTTGGTTGTAGTATTATAATAGAGTCGGGGAGCGCTGTTGGTTGCAGGCGACATGTCTTGCATGGAGCCATGGGCAGGTTGAGATGCCGCTACTGACCGTTTACTTGGTGTATAGGTAGATGGCGACAATCAGACCGTAGAGACCCAATACTTCGGCGAAGATCAATATCAGGATCATGCCGACGAAGAGGCGAGGTTGTTGCGCGGTGCCTCTCACACCAACGTCACCGACGATGCCGATGGCGAAACCGGCTGCTAGACCGGAGAAGCCCACGGCCAGACCAGCACCCAAATGGGCGAAACCCCTAATGGACAGAAGTACGGTTCCGTTAGTGATCGTTTTTCTTAAAGATCTAATTAATAAGACAAGCGGGACAGAAACGCGTTTTCTGATGAGTCATGATATCCTCTCAAGTCAATGGAGTATTGCAGTGGGCAACAGATAACGCTGCTTATTTGTCGATTCTCATTATGTATGTATATATGCGTGTACAGCAAAGTCGAAATTTTAGATCAAAAGCGGACATCATGTTGCCGAAATGTCGCTTCTTTGCGTCCACACGAGAATCCATCCGAACGGTGGCAGCTCGGTGTGCAAGTGAGGCAGGGTCCGTTCTTTTTAACTGAATCAGATTGCACTTTTTGCTATTAGAGTCAAACAAGCATACGTAGCAGCTAGGCGTTTAAGGGAACAGGAACAAAGTTCCAGTGCAACACTAGTTTAGGTAAAAATAACAGGCCTATTATCTGAGAAAGAGATACGTACGTAAACAGCTTGTAATCCTCTCTTTCGAGAGAACCCGCGATGAGGACGGCCACCACGAGGCCGTAAATGGCAATAATACCCGCCATGACAACAGGAATGATGGATTTCATGATCAGCTCTGGCCTCATGACGGACATCGCCGCGATTCCTGTGCCGGCCTTCGCTGTGCCATACGCTGCTCCCAAAGCTGAAAACGAAATTGATCTCCGTTATGTAAAAGAAAATCGAGAGACAGAGAGAGAAAGAAAGAACAACCAAATATGCAACGCGAGGCGTTATTGGCGCAATTGTTACCGCAATTATCGTTCATTGCACGACGATATTCGCGCACAAACCTTCTTGCGATTAATTTGACTCCAACGCTACTCGAGGCCATTCCTTCGTGTTTACGTGCAGTAATGCGACGCGTGTCAACAAGATGGTGCAGCGGCGCGTTACGTTTTCGCGATGTAATTAATCGGAGGACCTTTCCTCCGGGAGAGAATGGACGGAGAAAAGGCCGGGAAACGCAGGCTCGACGTTTCCCGGCCACGGGCAAACGGCCATTTTAGACGGTGCGTGCTTTCTCGACACACTGTACGTCCCTGTTGGCAGTTTCAGCCGCGAGCATGCACGAGGGATTATCGATCGAGCCCGTCGTGATAGACGGTCCCGCCGGAGACGCGGACGAGAATAATTCTCATCCCGAGTCGTTGTGTTTTTCCGACTGCGCGCCGAGCTACATCCTCCTCCTCCTCCTCCTCCTCGTCTTCGATCAGTCGAAGATCGATCCGCGCAATGAACATCCGCGCGTAATAACGCGAGATCCGACGATGAGGCGGACAGCAGGTGTCTACTACCCAGCCCAGCCAGACTGGAGATCGCAGTCACATGATTCTCACGTTGGCAGTCACATGACAATCGTTCAAGTCCCATCCCGTGAGTAGGGGGGCGTGGCAGCGGCGATCGCCGTGCGTTTTTTCCTCTGTGCCGTTTTCGAAAACGCGACTCTCGCGATTCTTTTCGCCGTCGTCGACGTCATCGTCGTCGTCGTCGACGTCATCGTCGTCGTCGTCGTTGTTGTCGTAGCAGCACTTGATTATGTTGCGAATTACCTGAGCGATATCTATATAATTGCACGGCTTATCGCCGTGCTACCGCAATAGATATTTCGCGGCAAACGTGCAGTTCCACCAGCTGATTCAGCGGCTGATGTTCGGCTCGAAGTCCAGAACGAGCTATGTCGCAAAGACCTCTCAGTGGAAACAGATTATTCTCTCGTCACTTTGATACTTTGCTCGCGTCTCCTTGCTTTCTGTATTCTCTCTCTCTCTCTCTCTCTCTCTCTGTCTCTCAATTCTAACACTATTTCTCATTCGACCTCGTGAATTGTAATCGTCATGCTCCTATTATTTCATTGGCGTTTTCGCCGATTACGCGCTAAGGAAGTGTGAAAAACTGCCTCGAGTGGACGGAATCAATTTGTGCATTTTCGTCGTAGAAGACAGAGAAAGAAAGAAAGAGACAGAGATAGAGCGCGCACGCATCGGTCGATCGCGCGACAGTCCCGGCGAAGGAAGTCGAGTTCAATCGATGCCTCGAATTGATACGATTCCACGAAGAATTCAGTGACGATGCGAGGCGAAAGCGCGTTTTTTTTCACGAACATCTTGAGCCGGTGTTTCGCGAATTTTGCGCTTCCACCGACAAAACTTGGCGGCATATAAGGCATGAGAAAAGCGGTATACGTGTATTGATTTCGTCGATGGAAAGCGACACCCGCGGCGGTCACAGAATCGTCGTTTTATCAACGCAAATTCGGAGAAAATTGTTAATTAAGAATCAATACATGGCACGCGCCGAGACGTGTTCGCGCTTTGGAGAGAAGACGAGGAAAAAACGCGAGTGAGCGAGCGAGACGGAGATAGGTCGAAAGAAAGAGAAAATCGGTCTCATCGACGTTAATTTGCATTCACCGCGGTTCCCGTTCATAACGCTCGCAATAGCATATTGTTCATCAATACAAATCGCAATTTACATAATCTGCGAATTATTAGCCGGTAGAGGAGGCGCAGGCGGAGAATAATGGTAACGTATCGTTGCCATACCTCGCGGGCGGCGCGACTCGTGACACTCACGAGGCGCACGCACTCACGCATTGCGTTCGCGTCCGTCTCGTTTTCGCGTAGCTTTTCCGAGGCTCATAAAATTCTAGCAGCGTACCGCCACCGTCACCGCCGCGCTCTCTCGAGGTCAGCATTACGAAATAGCTGCGCCCGGTCCGGCCGCGAATATAAGTTTCCCAGAGCGACAGAGGATCGCGGCACTTGGACCGCTTCGTTTTCTGCGTTGCGAAATAACGTCGCGGTCCGAGCGGGGAAACCAGACGATGAACGACGCCGAGTGAAAATCAACTAGGACGTCGAAATTGGAACGGTGCAACGATCAAAACGAGAGAACAATTGACGAGACGGAGGCAGTAGGCCGATTCCAGTCGGCGCTTGATAAGATAACGCATCCAAATTCCATCCAGCCTCTCGACGTCAGCTCGGCTCGTCTCTGCGTTTCGCGCGGCGCGTGACGTTTTCGGGCCGTTGCGACGAAAGGCGAGCCCCGTCGAACGCCCCGAGGAAAATGCACCCCCGCACCCTGCGAGGATCGATAATCCGTCGTGCGCCGCGCCGTTCGCACACGATTTTCTGTCTGTTTTACGCCGCTCCCGCTTGAGAAAATGGCGTGACACGGTATATCGGTGCCGTGTCGACGACAAACCACGGCAACAACGACGACAACGACGACGATGACGATGACGACGACGACGACGACACGTTGACTGCGAGTATTGTGTTGATGACGATGTGATAACGCAAGCGTTACGCGCCCCCGAGACCTCGTGAGGCACGATCGAGCGAGATCACGAGGCGGCCGAGAGAGCAATCCCGGACAATCGAGACTCACCGGAAAATATGATCGCAGAGGCGGCGCCCATAACGCCGAAGAACGGCGCGTATATCGGGGCATCATCCGATGACATTGTGGCTGGATTTGTCGCGGCTCGGCGGTCGGGTCGGTCGCGGGTGTATTTACAGGTTGCCGATCGTCGCGCGCGGAACGTCGAACGTACGAGCGATCTTCACACTCACTCACTTCGCTAAACTAGTGGCCACTGTCAAATATGGCCTACCGGAGCACAGTGGGCACGGGTCATGTGATGAGTGACGAGCGCCCCGGTGCGAGTAGAAGGAAGGTCGCGCAACGCGGCGAGTACGCGTGAGTCGCGCCGCGATTGGCCGGCGGCGGCGCGACCGTGCGCGCCTCGGCGAATCTCACCGCGCGTCTCATCCCTACCGTCTGACGTAGTCCCCGCGAATTGGCCGAGAGCGGCGTGCGCCGCCGCGCATCCGGCTCGCGCACGCCGTCGTCGCGCACACGCGACCGCGCGAGGAAGCGCGTGACTTGAGTTTTCCGACGGGATTTTCCGGCCTGTGCGTAACTCTTCCGGCGAGTCCATGCCGGCGAAACGTTCCGGCGGCTTTTCGCGATCATGTAGGCTCGCTCGCTGGACATCGGGACGCTATGGAAACGGTTGGCCGGGCGATTTCGCGTGCTGCGCGTGATAGGCACATGACTGCCGAGCCGATGTTTGAACTGTGTCGTCGCCGGAAGGGCAAAGAGGGAGAACTTTGCACAGCGTGGAGGTTTCGTGGAGTAGGGTGAAACGTGATAATGGAGCAATGACGGGACACGGCAAATGATATCGGAGGGGAGAATTACCTTGAAAAGATTTAGTTGCTTGTTTCGTAATAAGGATCACTCGATCGACTTTCTTACGTTATCTGTTTCTTTTTGAATTACTCTGTTTCGCTGGATAATGAATCTGATTGGATTGATTATACCCTTCCGAAAACATGCCCAGATAAACGGAAAAATCTTTTTGATACATTTAAGCGATTATGTTAGGTTGTGTTCTGTTGAATATTTATCGATAACGAATGTGCGATCTTTATTCTTCGATTTCCTGTGTTCTGTCAATCATGAATAATCTTGATTCTTTTAGGATAAATATATTTGCCCTCCTTTTAAAGCTGGTTATAGATCTGTACTACTTTGAGCTTGAGATAAAGTAGATGCAAAGGAGAAAAAGATAAGAGAGAAAAAGAGAGGAAAGAAGTGTAAAAGTGTAATGTGAACAGTACAAGTTTGAAGTAAGAAAGAGAGATTTGTTTGGTAGAATTTTTTTGGGTTTAAGATCAAACGATGATGTTTCTCCAAGATGTTTAGATGAGATCAGGAAATTGTTTGCCACGAAAATACATTTTATTTTCATGAATAGTTGCAGCCTGATGCAACGCGGAATGAATCATCATTTTAGAAAATGTTGGTGTAGATATGAAGATTTTTATCGTAACGCTCTACAAGCTCTCTTTATGATTACGAATTTCTACGAATCAGTTGTAGTACGCAAAAGATATATCAATTGTATTTTGTGCTTCACGTGACATACTTTTTATCGAGTCATGTAATCTTTGGTGTATCAGGCCGACGCCTTAACGAGCACGTGACAAGAGTAGAGAAAGCCGTCGACTTGTAGCACTGCGACGTGATTCGCTAAACTGAATAGATATGAAAAAGTATAAGTAACAAAGTGTAAACAGTGCAATCGAGACGAACAGAGCTCGCGTAAGCCAAGAAAAGTCAATGGCTGCGTATAACAGAAAACTGCTTCGCAACTGTTGTAAAATTCGTGATTCTGATATACTCTTAATCTTGGTTGAATCTAAAAGCATACACCAATCAAATTTACAAATTTTACAACAGTTACAAAACAGCTTTCTTCGCTGAACGCAATCATTGAGCACGTTCAGCAGATAAAAACGTTCAGTGAGCACTCGATGTTTATTGGTTTATTCTGTAAGTTCCCTATATTTAGACCAATTACGTTTACGAATCACTCAACAGTTGTAAAACTGTTGTGTCTGCTGAACGCGCCCAATTTCAACGCAATGCATCAAACAAACCTTCATTTTCAAGTAGTACGACTCAATGACGAATCAGACGGATAGTCATTTCTTAGCAGCACGACGACGGAACAGCGAGCTAATTGGACATTTATCTTTGAGTACAATGTCAAAAGGCAAAAATCTGTCTGACCATATAGATTTTGAAATTATACTAATAATAAGTGAAAATTTGAAATCGTAACTGAATATAACAATTGAAAATCCGAAGAACAGAATTTAAGACGATCCAAACGATATAAGAGTATCTACAAAATTGAATTATAAATCTTTTCCTTTAATGTAATTGAATTATAAATCTTTTCCTTTAATGTCAACTCGTAAAAATTGAAAACTTTCCAATACTTTCACGTCAGAAAGTTTTCACTTTTCCTACAATCAAAGACTCATGATCCAACCTCTGGGTTGCCAAATAATAACATATTACTTGTCGTGACGTATTATTTTTTTTAATAACGAGACAAGTGAAAATAATTACGCGATAAGTATCAGTTTGGCGATTTTCGTTCGTTTCGTGACTCATCGAAAACGAAAAATACCGCGATTGTCCGCGACCACGAATCCTCCAATCCGAGTCGATCCACTTCAACTCCGAGGCGTCACCTGTCGGCGCCGGGCCGCACGGTCTATTTATAATGTGTCGTCGGAGGGTGTCCTCTGTATCCCGTATGCCCTGCTATATTCATTGAACGGCGCATTGGAGCGGCATCATTTTCCCGAGGCGCCGTAGATAGTCCCCCTTTTATGTGAATTCCGCACGACGCACCGAACAAATCTCGACTCAATAAACGCCGCTTCTTGTGCGGACAGCTCGTCGTTTCGTATAGCAGCTTCGTCGCGGTGCGAATAACAATACGCAGTAATGGGCGTGGATGTCGAGGTTCTCAGGCATGGAGATGGTAATTATACGTTCCATTTTTTATGGCTCGTCGAATTTCGTTATTCCTCCGCCGCGTCCGTGAGATCTCTTTCGACCCTCGCTCCTGTGCCCCAATGCTCCGAAAAATCATTGTACATTTTCTTGACGCGTGCGTCAAGTATCACGGACCTTCAGTTTCGCAGCTCGAAAAGCCACGTCCGAACGTGGCCTGCGCCGCGACACCCCAACATGATCTATTCAGACAGAATTGATTCCACACGATGAAGTTCTCTCAAATTTTTTGCGGTGCCTCGATTCTATCTATCATGATGTTACGTCTTATTTGAGCTTGTCATATAAGATATTCTTGTATAAATTATACATTGATATGTGATACTTAATATAAATCTATCTGTGCAAGTGTCTATATGCTGTTGCATATAGTCAGATACTAAAATATTAAAATGAATGCAAACTGCATGATCTACTTCATCAACTGTACTTTATTGTCTGTAAGTTGCTGGATACGTATAGATTAGCTAGAAAAAAAATTAAATGTTAAAAATATCTAAAAAATTGCAAAATACATATACTCCGCAAAGTATTTATAAAATATTTTTAAGTATATATACTCCAAGTATCATTGCACATCTCAAACTTCTACTTGTACACAGGTCAAACCTTCCCAAAGACTGGACAAATGGTAGTTGTCCACTATACAGGTAAATATTTTGATACCATTAATTATAATACATTTAAAATTGCACTTGTAATATTTTGTCTTGTAATATATTTGCAAAATATTAATATTTTGCAAATATGAATGTGATAAGAATCTGACTCTCTGTATATCTGTGTGCAGAAGTAATTTAAAAAAATTTTTATATTATATTCTCTTTATTAAATCAATTCTATATAATCTGGTGAGAGATTGTATATATATATATAATAATTTCTTATGTATGTATAATAGGTACCCTTGTTGATGGAAAGCAGTTTGACTCCAGTAGAGACCGCGGTGTCCCATTTAAGTTCAGAATTGGGAAAGGCTTGGTGATCAGAGGCTGGGATGAAGGTATTGCGCAAATGTGCGTTGGAGAACGGGCTAGGTTAATTTGTTCTCCAGATTATGCTTATGGTAGCACAGGCCATCCTGGAATATATCCTTTGATATGAGAAAGATGATAAATAAGAGTACAAAATAGAGTACAAAATAGGGTTGGGAGGTAACATTGCTTGTTATGTCATTATAATTGTCTTTTTCAGTGAGTTGTTTTTTGTTAATAACAGTAATATAATTATATTTTTTTGGGCAATGGTAATGAATGTAATCGTTACTTTACACATACAAAATTCATGACATGATAATAAGATTGACTGCAACAAATTGTAAAGAAAGAATTCTTGAAACTTTGTGAAAAAAGTAACAGAAATTGTAATAATTTGTAACTTCTTGAATAACGATAATCATAATGAATTATTTCTCAAAGTCTAAATAACGGTAACGAGAACAATTTTTTTCCAGTGAATAATTAATGACAGTAACAAATTACTTTTCAAAACTAACTTTTCCAACCCTTTATTAGATATGACAATTTGCTATATTAGCATTAAAACATACGAATCAACTATGTTAACCTTGACAAAGACACACTATTCCACCAAATGCTGTTCTTATCTTCGATGTGGAGTTGCTCAAGGTGGAACCCTGAAATACCTCTTAGAGTGTACCAAACTGACCAAATGCATTTCAATATGAAAAATTTACAAAGAAAAGGAAGAAAAAGAAACGCATCAAATTGCATTACGTTAGGTAGTCGTCGCACGAATGGCACATTTCTTACACTCATGCCTTAATTCAATCGCTCGGACATTTAAAGTCGCGAAATGCGATTTCTACAAAGTAATATATGTATACATACATATATGTATACATACACACATACATTTGTGTGTGTGTGTGTGTGTATATATATATGTAGCGACACATTGTTTCGTGCTGTTGACAAGCAGTGTACAATTTATACAATGTATAAATTGTAGATCAACAATACCCGAACAATACTGCGTATAGGTGTTAGACTGTAAGATCGTATATTATAATACGTAGTCTGATTGCATATGCAGTCCAAGAGTTGCTACTTAACTTGTGTACTTGATTAAAAACCGATTTAATCGTGTTCCTATGATGAGCGGTTGAATGAAGGAATCCTTTTCAAATACAATGTAATTTGTGTTCATTCCATTCACTGTGTATTTGATAAAGCGATCTTTCGGTTATTTTATACAAACACTGTCAACGATATCGAGAAACGATCACCGTTGGCAATGTAATAGTACAGAGATCTTTACAGGATAAAATACAATAAAATTAAAAAAAAATTGTTTTGCTCTATATAACGAAACATACATACTTCTTCCCGTACATACATTATATGACAAAGATAATATTCAACATTATTAAATATAAGAAGAAGGGACAAACATTATAACTTTTCTTAAAGCATAACGTTTTTTTAAGTATAACGTTATTTACAAAATATTTGGAACAGTTTTTATGTCTATAAATATATATTGTGCAATCTGTCAGATCTATTTCGCTGAATTTCCCTAAGATACACTACCCCGAAATATACTATATATATGTGTGTATATATACGTGAGGAAGATATACAAGCATAGAATATACATTCTTTAACTTTAAATTCACAATATAACTTCAGATTATAATTTAACTTTGTATGTATATATATATATATATAGGTTTTTAACCTTTTAATTAATGCGATTAAATAACAATAACATTTAAATAGCCTATCATCTAAAAATGCATACTGAAGCTATTGTCAAATTTGCTGGATTTTGCTTTGGTTTATGCGTATTACACTTGTCACTTATTCATTAAGAGCTAATAAGCAGAGTTAATTTCTAACGTCAATAAAAAATATATCAGAATTATATAAAACATAAAAATATTCTTTGTATAGATTCTAAATAATTGTCTATATACATACATATAAATAAATCTCTAAGTTGTAAAAGCTATTGCTCTCTGCTTATTGCTGTAACATATACAAGATCTAACGTAGTGCGACGTTGTTAAGAATATCGATTGTTTAATATACAAACAGTTCTGGGAAATGAATTTCATATGCCGGAGTTTGACTTGGTTTAGCATCTGCTTGTGGTCCAGTTGTGGGAACTGCATTACGCGGATCAACAGATAAGGTGTTAAATATTTCTGATAATTTGCTCTGCAAGACATCGTGCTGTAAATCGAAAGAAAACATCGAAGTTCAAAATACTTGCTTAAAATGTCTAATATCAGAGATGATATCGATGGTCGTGATAAACTTTTGTACCTTCGGCTGAGTTTTTGACACTAGGTCTTGGAATGGTGCATTTCTGAAGAACTGAGAAAGCTGCATTCGCTTCTCCTCTTCCACTATATGATTGTTGTTATTCTCTGTCAAAATTCTCTTCATGCTCTCGAACGTTAACTCTTCTCCAGGCAATTTCTGCAAAGAAACAACGGTTGTAGCATGAGACGACAATGCAAGATTGTAGTAATTATAATTCAGAATATTGAAGACGAATCCGTCCGTTATCTAATTTAATGAAAGTCAAATTATATTTACTACCTTTTGTACACCTGGTGAGGAACCTCCGCTATCCAATTCTGGGCCTCCGGAATTAATGTCAGCCAATGAATTTCGTCCCGCGCTGTCGACCCAAGAATGCCTAACGAGTATAAATTCAATACATATAAAACAAGTTAAACAATATTTAATACATATAAAACAAGTTATCGACAATGTTATTAATAATGTATAAAATAATATTTATTATATATCTGTTCAACACTCAATGTTAGTAGTTAATAGTTAATCGCTACAAACGCGATTGACGTCTCCATTACCCATTATCGTCTTACCTATGTTGCAAGGAACTGCTGCTATAACCGGAACCTTGTTGCAACTTTCCACTGTCAAGGCCAGCACCCTTTAGGCATTCGCTAACAACAGTTTGATCGACCAGAAGAGCCGGTACTAATCTGGATGTTAGAGTCTTGTCGTACTGAGATTGTAAGTCTGGTAGCAAGTGTGGACTATCGTTTCGACGTGCCTCTACCACCTTAGAACAGAGACAACCAAATTGTTGATTTTAATTTATATTAATATATAATGTCAGTGGAAATTCAATATATAAAATTAATCAATATATAAAAGGAATCTGCGAAAATATGACTGCCTACCTTCTTCGCGTAATCCATCAGAGCGGTGATATTACAAGCGTACGAGATTAAAACCAATAAACTGATAACAATGGCGTGTAAGTTGAATTTAAGCGCGAGACTGATCTGACCACTTGTCAACGCTAGGTCTTGAAGGCTCAGTACCAATCTCAATAGTTCCAAAACCGTTTCCTCGGAAGCCAATTCAATGGCGAGTAATGCCAATGTGGTATAAATAGATTCTACATTTTCTACATTGTTACTAGACAACTCTAATGATTCATACAACGCTAAATAAATCTCAGGACCGTGTTTCCGAATGAAAATTACATCGGGTCTGGATGCTTTTTCGATGACGAGGTCAAGTTCCGTTATGTTTACGCTGCAAAGGAGAAGATAAATTATTGTATCAGCAAAAATGCTCTCGCAAAGATTGTAAAAATGTTAATAAATTCATCATTTATCACTATTAAAGTCCATATTAATGGGAATTATTTAAATTAGAAGTTAGATTTGAGTTTTTAAATCATATAATATATGCGACATTAGATTCAATAAAAAAAGAAAAAACATTCAACTGTAAATTTTAATCTAAATATTTTACTAGGGACAAATTTCAAATAACGACTATGAATACGGAAAAGACGGAACTTACGTTGGCTTAGCGAGTTTCGTAATATTCCGGTGTCTATCGATTAGAGTGTGGAATATCTTCTGCACGAGAAGTCTCATTTCAGCGTCCGCCGCCAGTGACATTCTCAATAACGGGTCTAAGAAACTCGGCGGGAATGTTGTGTTCAAGTGAATAGTTTGGTATTTGGTACCGACCTATGCATTAAGAAGAAATAAAAGTGATTAATATAATTCATATATTGTAAAGTTTGTGCAGTTTATACCTTCAGTAGAGATTTCAAGAGTATGCTCTGGAGTAATACGTCTCCCTTGCCCACCGACACAATACGATCCGGCTGACTGTACGGAACTTTGCTCATGATGAACATCATGATTTCAATTTTCTGGTAATCGGGGAGGTGATTCGCAAACTCTCCGAGGGCGTTGATCAGGGCTTCCTGATACAGTTGCTCATCACTGCTTGACGATTGGTTTCTCGTTACACTAACCCGCAAGTGAGACAACAAGGAGTTTATAATCTCCAACACGGATGGCCCTGAAGGAAATGTACACTGTCACAAGAGTTCAACAACAATAAACTTAATCTCTACTTTACACTCGACAATTAGGGTATGTGCATCGGTTATAGAAATAGATTGACATCGAGTCCGTTTAATTTTGCTACTTTCATGCACTTACCTACGCTTTCACCCGCGGCGATTGATATAATCTTAGATAAGGTGTCCGCTATGCTGGTACGAATTTTTGGAGACGACTTCGAATGATCGTCGAGATGCGTCATTAAGGCTTCTACTACAGTGTACGAATATTGTGACTGAAAAATAGATCAAGGAAATATTAACGATCATCTTAGTATTTATATTAAAACAATCTGAACTGTGGCCTTGTTTACACTAATCTCTTAATACGGAAATATCAATTGGTAATTTTGTATTAAACAAATTATATTTACTGATAATCGTGAGGCGTGCAAATGATACAGAGTATACTAAATTCGTATGGTAGTCTTTTTTATGTATATCGCACCAAATTAGTACATCAACGTTAACATTACTGAAATTGAGATAATTTTTTATGAAAATTCCTATTTAAATCATGTATTAAACAACTGGAGTGAATTAGCATTATATATACATACCTGAATAGAAAACATAATTATTCTGAAGGTATGAATCGCGAAGTAATTGGGAACCCACAACTGATGGTTATCCAAATGTCTGTAAACAAATATTTATGAATATCTCCAACATGAATATATTCGTGCGTGTATCCATTAAACCCTAAAGATGAGATTTCAACTTGTACCTCAACACAGGTCTTATGACACATCTAATATGACCGAACGATGCGCGTCCAATTAGTTCTCGCATGCAAGTCTCCGCAAACTGCGGCGGATCCGATCGTTCCTCAGTCGGGCTGTCCGGTGTCGCTTGTTCTTTATCGGCATATCTTCAAGTACAAACGCCATGTCACTACGTGTGCCTTATATAGTGCTCATACATTAACGAATTACCTCGAATTTTGCATGTTATACAGCAAAGATGGTACAATCTTATCCATATGCACAGGTTCCCAGATATTCTCAACGAGATCATCAGAAAGAGTTTTTCTTACAACACCCTATGCGTATATTAATATATAAATATAATTTTTAAGGTGTAAGTAAAGTAAAAGTACTAACGCCCAGGCAGGTACCTCATTCTGGACACTCTTATTATTTTGATCTTTTGCATATGAATGTTTTATTAAACTTTCAACATAGGATATATGGATATTGTAAGTATTTTTACCTCAGTTATTCAATATTTACGTGACTATATGAATAATCTGCAAATGTCATACTTGTAGTCCTTGAATTCCAGCAAGCCTAATCTGCTTACGTATGGCGGGGTCATCATTATTAGAATGGCACATGGCAGAATATTTAGATACAAAAAAATCATAGCGTGTATGATAAGAGGGTGTGTCCTCCTCAATATTGGCAAATCTGACAAACTAACAATACAAAGTATACAATTAATAATAAAGAAATTGACGTTATTTTGCTATTAATTAACACTTACAGACTGTGTTGCTAGAATTTGTAGCTGAGGGTCTGTTGATTCCAATAGTTTCTGTACCATCTTTAGGAAACTCTCAACAAACAGATTCAAAGTTTGTGCATGACAGGCTACCAACAGCTGGTCCATTGCCTCCATAGCAATTACAACAAAGCCATTTCGTCTCCTGTTGAGATACGATTCTTTATCAGGATATAAATTCAAAAATTTTATGCTTTGGATTTACAATTCAAATTTTAATTCTCCAATTATAGATACATAACATATACACACTATCTGTAAGTGTAGTGAATTACTGCCAGTCATGTTTGTAACAGTCATTAAAATTAATTTCTCTAACTCTTATGTACAGCAATATATAATTACTTATATAATGTGTCACAATACAGATTTTTTGCTGCATATGTTTGGTGGAAAATTTAATAATAAAAATTATATACTATATTTTCTAACATGATATACCTGTAAATATCTCTAGAAGCTCGTTGGAACAGATATTCTCCAATCCTGTCTAACTTTTCAGGGCTACTCAATGAGTAGAATGTCAATTTCTCCATGTTATTTTTAATTAGACCATCCTGATAAGCAGATTAATGTATCATTATGTATTATTATGTAAAATATCGATTTTCTGTTCGTTTAACTTCTTATTTAGCGCATAAATATCATAGGTTCTCTACCCTAAATAGAATAACCATTTTGATCCGAGTCACTGTCAAGGACAGTGTTTCCATATTGATTTATACATTCATTCGAAGGTAAAGCTTTCAAAAAAGCACGGCACATATATCAATTAAAAAAGAAGAAAATCAACAAAATCTTACCTGTGGATTGACCGGAAAGATATTGTCAACGAGCCTCTTGTATCTCGGACGTAATGCGGAACAACACCAACAACAACCTAATAAAAATGAAAAAAAAGACATAATACACTAATGTCAGAATCTGACTGCAATCTAAGTTGTGCAAGTATTCTCAAAGATACGTATATCGTACGATAAATATCACTGAAATATAAAATTGTAATATTTACCGAACATTTTTCTATCGGTTCTTGTCGCAGGGTGATAATGAATGACAGATTCACGTACCGTGAGTGTGCGTGCACCAGAGAGGACTGCACGTAAGCACACAATAAAGAATCACGAATGCAGACACACTCTATAGATATTTATGATCTTACGCGGTGCATTTTCAATGGTTGCATTCAGCAGACAGCTGTTTTGCGATTGTGTAAAATTTGTGAATCTAATTGGTATATGCTTTTAGATTCAGCCAAGATTAAGAGAATACACCAATCAGATCACGAATTTTACAACAGTTGGGAGGCAGCTTACTCTGCTGAATTCAGTCAATAACGTAGAGCAAGTTATATCTTCATAATGCTTCTTGCGTCTCACAGATGTCACTAAGGTGAGAATCGTTTAATATACTGTAAAGTAGCAAAAAATATTCGAGGATTTAAAACCGCAAGAAACATGTAAAAAGAACTTCAGTTAAATTACGTTTCAGTCAAATTACAGTATAGGTATGTGTATATAAATAAATAAATAAATAAATAAATATATATATATATATTTGGGATATGTGATGCCTTCAAGATATCTCTATGATGTATTTGGGACATTCCTACTGTGTGGGATAGGCTCGCCTGCATATTAAAATAATTAAAAACGTAAATAAATATTGAGAAAAATTAAGAAAAAAATTTATAGCCGAGGTTGGACATCCCACATAACACAAGATTTAAAAGATATCCCAAAAATATCCAGAGATTGGTAAATATCCGCATAAGTCCTTAGAATATCCTAAAAATATTCCGAAGATTTCTAAATGTCTATGTAAGTCCCCAAGATATTCCTTCAAGATCTTGTGCTATGAGAGACGGATTGCTATTTATAGTAATAAATATTTTACTATTATTGTTAAATATTTTGTAAAAATAGTTTCATACTTTCCAAATACTTGTTGATCTTTTTGCTTATCTCCTGACATTTCATGCTTCACTTGAATTAATTATGACGTTTTCTACAACTGTTAATAAAGAAATAAATTTTATGTGTTCAAACATTATTTATCATTCTCTTTCATTTGACTCTTCATATCGCGACTTAATTAGGACCACACTCTTACTTCCACTATATTTGTCATATCGAAGTGCACAATACAGATGTCAGACGTCTTTTTCTATCATAAGAAATATCGGCCACCTGTTCGCCAAGGTCATGTTAAGAATTGAATGTAAAAAAGAGGTGAAAATAATTTTATTCTTCACTCGGTCCGTATCGATCATTTGAATATGTTGCCTTTACTTGCTATCTTGGTGCTCGGCGTTTTTGCGCAACGTAAGTAAAGCTGAATCATATAGTTTAACGAGATACTTGAATATTTCCTCTTTCAACAAATACTTCCGCTCATCTGTCGAGTGAGTTTTCACTCACTCACTGTTGCATGTTGATTGACTTCGAAAAAGAAACAGAAACTTTTTAATAGAGAGAAATCTGAAAGGAAAGTTTTATAACTACAAATATATAAACATATAAATGTAGAGATATGTAACAAAATATATAGACAAATTTCAGAGTTGAGAAATAAAGCCATAACTTCTTTAGTGCGTTACAAGTTATTTTCTTCAGTGACTACTTAGTGACGACGTTACGTGGGCGAATCAAATATTTTTTTTTGCGGCTAGGAAAATCACGTGATCGGGTTAAGACTTTTTATGCTCAATTTCTTCACCTCCAGTCCAGATTTATCACCATGTAATAAATCACATGTTTGAGCCACTCAAGGAAGCATCAGAAGGGCAAAAATTTCACGACGACGCAGGTGTGGAAGAATTCGTGCACAATTGGCTCATGACGTTTCCATCTTCTTTCTTCGAAGAAGACATAAAAAAGTTTCCGATCCGATGGAAAAAATGTGTTTCCGTTAAAGGAGATTATATAGAAAAATAATTGTATTTTTTTGTAATTTTATATTACTTCAATAAATTAAAAAAAAATCCGGTTAATATTTGATTCACCCACATATTTTTTATACTTGATCGCGATGTTATATTTTTTTTAATTACTTCTTTTAATGAATATAATTGTTACTTTTATCGTTATTTGGCATATGGAATTCATGGAACGGTGCTATCTAGAATGGTTTTTATGATTTTGTTAGGTACAATTGCACATGATAATATTTTATAGCAGAACACTTTACAGAACTATTTGTCATTCCTTGAGATTTTTTTTTGCAGAGATTTATACAGATTATTTTTGCGTATTTTGCAGAGACATTCGCAGACGAACCCGAAGCGATTGTCGGCGGTATATCCGCTTTGCCGGGCGAGTTTCCGTATCAATGTAGTCTGCAGATGCACAGCAATCACTTCTGCGGCGGCATTATCGCCAGCCCGACATGCATAGTCACCGCTGCTCACTGCCTGGACGGCCGCACACCGCCACCCTTTGACACCATAAAGGTCATCACCGGAAGCATCAGCAGCACCGTAGGAAGAGAGCGCTCAGTTAAATTCGGCAAAATACATCCAGATTACAAAGGATCCGCACAGTACTCCTGGAAAAACGATGTCGCTGTGCTTGTCGTAAGTCGACATGCTGCTTTTCTCCAGTATGCATGTGCAAACGAATCCTTGTTTAATTCGGTGCTCGCACAATTGGAGACGATGATATTGCAAAATGCGTCGTCGAGTCGACTGTTTCTACATAAATTTAGGCGAAAAGTGTAACGCGCGTTTCAAACACGCTGTTCTAAGTGAGAAACTCATATCAATCCACTTGCTCTTTCGTTTTCTGCAAGATTTCTTCTTATTTCTATTTTTGTATTAAAATAGTATAAAACGTATGAAACATTCTTTGGGTCTCTACACTTTACAAGTATAAATATTCAAAAAACGATTCCCTATTTTATTCCGTATAACTATTTTTGTTTCAATTGTAGACTAGTGCTGCTATTATAATCCGAATATTCATATTCATGGGTATTGCCTGACGACATATTACTTGAAAATTCGATCTTATTTATTTTCTACGCTTTAAGTTTTGTAAGTGCTCGACTTACGGTAACTATATTGCCTTTTTGTTCTCTCAATTAATCGTGTTCATTTCGTCAACTTCAGCTCAAGGAACCGCTGAAGTTCAACAGCTATCAGTCCTCCATTCGGTTGGCTACTCAAACACCTCCCAGCGGCACTCCGTGCGTAGTGACCGGATGGGGTAAGACGAGTGTGAACTCGTCAATTGAGCCGACCCTTCTCAAGGCATATACAACGATAATTGACAACAAAACTTGCCGGGATTTGTATAATGGTCAACCGATCTACGATGTTCATCTGTGCACATTCGTCGGGCATGGAACTGGTATTTGCCAGGTGAATAACTTCTCAGTAAACATCAAGCAAGCAACAGTAACATTACATCAATATTACAATTTCCCATTCAATGCGATGTGACTGTTACATATAATATATGTTATATTGCACTCGTATTATTCAGCAGAAAATTATAACAGTAATGTAATCCCAAATATTAATATAATATAATAGTACAGAAAATTAAAAAAAAAAATTCAAAAAGAATTTAGTCGTATATGTCACCAATTCTGGGTTTATTTTCAGATGCAAAAAGAATTCTTCAGAGTTCAGTTCAGTGAAAAGAATTCTTTTTGCACCCAAAAATGAATTCAGAATTGGTGGCATATGACTGAATTCTTTTTGAATTCTCTGTGCTATCTGGAATGTTACTGTTAGTAGGTATTTACTGTCCTGGTGAAAATTGAAATTGGAGAGTAAATAAAGCGTAAACGAAGAGTGACGGAAGTGTAAGTGAAGCGCTTACACTTCCGTCACTCTTCATTTACACTTTATTTACTCTCTAATTTTAATTTTCATCAGGATGGGTCCAACTGTGTTTCAAACGGAACTTTGATTAATCGACGAATAACCGACAAAATTGCCGACACCAATTCCTAACTGTGTATGTGTGTGTGTGTGCAACTTGTCGCTCAACTAAAAAATTAATCTTTCTATCTATTTTTGCAAAAGCAGAGGTAATAACTTGACTCTAGTAACGATTTTAAATATGTTCGATTCAATTCACTAGAGTTTGCTTCGAAGTCATCTTTGATATCTATACGTCAATGATTCTCTCACCTCCGATAAGGAAATAGTTGATCCGAGTGAGATTTATGCAGTACGGCTCCGCAAATGATCTTTTAGGTAAAAGAAGGAAATTAACGGGAAATTAACAACCTTTTCTCTTTCTGTATTCTACAGGGTGATAGCGGTGGTCCACTCATGTGCAATGGTAAACTGGCCGGAATTGTTTCCTGGCTCATCCCTTGCGCTGTTGGCTACCCAGATGTCTTCTGTGATGTCGCCCAAGTCCGCTCATTTATCCAGTCTGTATGTCCAGAGGTTTAACTAACAGCAGTATAAACGGCAGTCCAATCAAGCATGCATCACACACTACTAACATGCTGTTTATATACTGATAAAAATGTAACACGCGATGCAGATCACGACAGCTGACTGATCAGTCTTCGTCGATCGCGTCCTTAAAATAAAAAAAGAAATCTATGTTTTCTTAATATTAATTAATTAATAAACGTTATGACCCAGATAGCAAAAAATCTTCAGAGAATGTTCTAGGACGTTCTTAGGATGTATGAATGTCCTTAGAACATCTTTAGAACATCCTTTAAAGTTTTGTGCTGTGTGGAGATTAGAACTATTTACAATTGTCAACTTTTATCTATATATATCCTATTCACATTTACTGCCTCTTTAAATTTCTTTAAATGAGATTTCACTCGAAAAATAGGATAACGGTCGAGTCTTTCGAATTCGAGTGATTTCTCACACATACAGTGAGAAAAAAGTGCTAGAATCGACGAAATTCCGTTTAAACGAGGAAAATTTACTTGAGCAAACGTTTATTCAATTGAATAAATTATATAAGATGTTATTAAGTGCGAATTTTTATTTTTTTGGAGTGATTTAATTCTAAGAGAAGGTATACGAAGTTCATAAATCAAGTTTAATGCAAGCAGCTGTGTGAGCCTATCAGCTTGGAAAACATCTGCAAACATTGATAATGACTATATATCGTATACTGTTTAATTAAGACTTCTCTTCGATACGTAATATAGATCTTGTTGTGTCAATATTATGCTATTAAGATGTAAAAGTAAAAACACATTTATCTAAAAGAAAGATAAAAGATTCATTTAATCGAAATTCTTATTTGAAATTTCAAAATTTTTTAATAGATTATCAGTCTGTAAAATTTGTGTAAATTGAACTGTGTGCTATTTACGAAATTGGACAGAAATTTCCATGGAGATTGTCTAATTCAAATGTAACGCACGCGTTAAAGAAACGACGGACGATTATTGATCAAATATTTGTGACGTGCGTAGATTCAGTTCATAAGCCGGCTAACAACGTAATTGCAACGCGATCTTGAATATTTTCATCGAATCGTAAGCTATATTATTCAATATTTCGGTAAGTCTACATTTTCAAAATATACAATCGAAGTCTACATCGCTTGAAAATTCTTGGAATTGTCTTACATGTTGTCTCTTCATATAAATATCTTGCAAATGTTCTCGTTGTAGAAATGGACATTTTTCAAAAAAAAGAACCTGAGCGACAAGCACAAGATGTTTCTCTCATAGATGAATTGCAAGTGAACGAAGAGACGGATCAATTTGATTCGGTTTACGGTAAAAATCTGCGCTCCCCGATACTTGGTTATCATTATGAACTTCCCGACTTGCCGACAAGTTATGTACCGTCCATCACTTTGGATACAGCTTTGTTGCACGTAAGACTCATCAAAATTTACCGAAAATCGGCATTGTCAATTCACGAAAAAGCGAATTTTATTGTAGTTTTCGACAACTCCGTTACTGAAATTTGCGCTTTGCAGATCCCTGTGTACACCCATTTGAAGATACACGATTTAAAGCCCGTGAAACGACCGAAAACACCTTCTATCTTGTCGGCACTGCATTTGCAATTTTCGTAAGTTTTTCTTGCGGTAGTCTCTCGTTTAGGACGGAAAGAATATTATAGCTTTTTTTATATGAAATTTGTTTTAATTTGACAGTCTAATTCTTTCTAATAGCGCAGAAGTAGATTATCAGTAGGATTTATCTTGCTGAGAAACAAGATAATATCTTTAATAGTGGATTTTGAAGAAAGGATATAATAAATTAGAGCAAAATGTCGATATGTTCCCTGGTTATGAAATTCTGTAGTGATTCTTATTATAGAATTCTTTCTGTGTGTAATAAAAATGTTCTGTAATAAGATATTCATATTTTAGGGAAGACGCGCGTAAATTCTCAAGAGAAGTATCATCAATCGCGCGTGCAAGCGAGGAAGACACAACATCCGCCTCGTACAGTATTCGGGATGATGTGAAAATTGATACATTGAGAAAAAATACTTGAAAATTTATGTGTGAAGTATAAAGTTCATTTCTGTGAAATAAAGTTTATTTTTGTGAATAAACTTTATATCTTATTAAAATAAATTTTCAAATATCTTTTCTTAATGTGACAACAGTTTCAAAGAACGAATGTTTTTTCTGAATAATAATTTACCGATAGTGCAGTAAACCAGGAGGATTGAAATAAACACAGATATTACCGATGACAATTGTTTGCTAAATCGGCAATTCTTCTTTCTGCTCTTCTACAATTTGCGATTCTTCTTTTCGCTCGTTTTCACGAATATCTGCGAACACCCACCTCGATTGACGCTCAATTATTGTGACCCTCTCGAATGAAGTTATCCGCGAAGATGATCACAAATTTGTTCTTTTGAATTGATTGGTCGAATATTCCTCGTTCCTTTTCATCAGTTTTCATGTGCTTTTTTCATGCTGAGTGCAGAAAGTGCAATATAACGCAGTTCAGAAGAGCAGATCTTATCCTGTCTAGTATTTGCAAACTTGAGCAACCAAAATACGTGTTATTATCTTGCATTTCAATAGAATTTTACAATAAGATCTAGAATGCGTCCAGAAAGCATACTACCAACTCTATTTAGCGCTAACGCGATATTCTATCCTTGTTGTACGTTTAAAGAGTGATAAGGATAAAATGCCTCGTAGCGTTAATAGCTCACTTTTCGAACGCATCCTAACTAGGCGAATCGCAAATCTCATATCTGAGCTTTAGAAAATGTTCGCAGATTTTTTCGTTCGATGAATTGGCTGCACTGGCGGAGTGATAAAAACATGAGAGCCGAGATGTAGGCGGTTTTAGATGTAAAAAACAGTGCTTTGGTATGGTTAGGTTATACTCAATGAAGTAATTTTTTTAATCAAACATCGGCCCGTTATTACCGGCTCGACGAGGAAACAAGCATCGATAGTAGTTACAACATGCGACAATGAAGAGATTCAACGAATTTCTCGCGACCTGCATCGTATTGCAACTGTTGTGCCATACATGCACCACACACTTGCTCATAAATGTCAAAAATCAGGTACGAATACACTGCACGCATGTTTATTGATAATAAATATAACAATCCTTTGTCTGCCTGCTAAGAATTTGTAGAAACAGATCGCTTCGCGAATTAGTTTCGATTACACGTTCTCGTATTAACCTCAAAGATACCTTGACGTAATATCTCTTTCGATGACAGTAGATGGCTTAACATATAAAGACACAATTTTGTCGTCAATATTCTTAACAAGATGCTCTTTATGTGTAGGGTGGTGACATTCTTCTGGAAACAATCTCGTCTAATGTCACAGAGGATGTGATCACTTTAGAATTCCAACGTTCTGATGGCACTCTGGTCACACAGCTGATCGATTTTAAAAATGTGATTATCTCCTAAATAAATCGAAATTTTAACGAGCATATCACTTCATTGTGATTTATATTTATGTATCTATTATTATACAACTTTACAGGAAGTTCAAGTCATAAAGGCTTTGGTACTTGGCGAAGAGGAACGTGGACAAAATCAGTATCAAGTCATGTGTTTTGTGAATCATTTTTATAAGGTTGACTTTATATCGTCCGATGCGATGTCCAAACTACGTCAGAAAAATCCAGGCACTGTGCGTGTAGCTGAGGAGGACAAAGGTCACGTCAACTATACAATGGACTTATTCTTGGATGTTTCTCAATCCAAGGAAATCTCAAAACATGTCACCACACTTTGCAGTGAAGCAGCTGGATCAGCCTATACCAGGAATGACGATATTAAACAATGGATTCAGAGACCAGGTAATTATATGTTGAATTAATATGATATTGTTATGTGTGTGTATATATATATAGAATATGAGTTATATATAATAATGCAATAATTTTTTACATTACAAGGCTCCTCTGAAGAACTACTTTTGGCTGCTGTATATAATTTCACAACTATGCCGCAAACAGGCACAAACGACACAAGGTCATTGCTGGTTTCTAAATGTGCTGACACATCTAACCTCTGGGCACCTTGCACGTGTTCTCTAGAATTGTGTATCGGTTGGTATCCGTGTGGTCTGAAGTTTTGCAAAGGAAAGTCGGATGGCAAAAAGGTAGCTAGCACTTATCGATGCGGTATAAAAACTTGTAAAAAATGTTTCATATTCTCGTATTACTCAAAGATGAAACAGAACTGTCTGTGGGATGAATGACATATAAGGACACTTTAGATTGAAATTTCGAAGTACGAACTGAAGATACTGAGATACGTTGCATTAGGATAAACAAAAAATATTCGAACGAATGAATGAATTAATTTAAAAGGCTCAAAAGCTCGAAAAGTTATTCTATAATATTAAAATATCAAGCAAAACTAGAACAGAAAGGGGAAATTGAAATTTCTAATATTTTTAATATCTAATATCAATTTGAATTTATAATTATTTCTGAACTTATGAACATATTTATTTTTTATTATTTTTATTAATATATTCTAGAAAATTAACATTTAATTAATTTTCTTTTTAGAAATTTATTTGTATTTATTGGACGAAAAAGAAATGTTATCTTTTATATTTAATTGAAATGTATATTTTTTATATATAATTGAAGCCAAAGCAAAAATATTTTTGCAAGATTATATTAGATTTACTTTCTTTAAAAAAAAAAGATATAGCAATAAATGGATTATACTTTAGAGAGGTTTTAGGGGGATAGAGTCTATAATTTTAACTGTAGATGTAGATTTCGGTCAGACAGCCTTCATATTCAATTATATAGATTTGACTGAGTGGATATTTGTAACATTTACAACTTTTTTGCGTAATTTGCACGGAAATCTGTTCAGTTCAATACATTCCAATATTTGTAATCAAATGTTTCAACCGTTACCATCTTCAATTCTATTTTTGTAGAATTTCCTTTTTTATAAAAAATTTAGATCATGTTGTGTCATAAAATGCATGTATATATGCAAAGTTGTTTCTCGCGATCAGCAGTTATATTCTTGAAAAAAAGTTGTCCCATAAATATCTTCACTTATACTGAATTCACTCAACATTCCCACTGTTACGTTATTTACATCTACAGGAAATGCAATCATTCCACTTGTATAATCATCGATTCTTACATATCTAGGATATGTTCCTCGCGTACTGATCGCATGTTACAAATAATCCATTCAAAATACGGAAGTATTCTGCTTTATTTCTCAAGACAGGAATATATCTCGAGAAATCAGTTATACGTAGACAATTTTATACATGACTTGTAAAGCTGCCATTTATACATTGTATGTGTACATTATATGTTCCAATTGTACATATTACACACACGCGCACACATAATACAGATACACACACACACACACACACACACATAACCATGCGGACACGCAAATAACGATGAATATTTAATGATGATGATTTAGGCGTGTACATATAAATTCGTGTTAATAGGATCGAGGATCTTGTACAGATTACGTAAGATTTGCAGTGCCGTGTGAGACTTTATAAGAATATTATCGATTTATATGAACACTATAGGTATCTGCGATTTGTAAACGAGTGTCTTTGCACGTTTCAATGATGAGTGTATATCTAGCGAATCGCCGTGAACAAGACTGCAAAATCTGTCCATTTAAACGTTTTCTTCGACGGTCCGAGCGCCGTCGAGGTTCCCTGATAGCCTCCTCGCTCGCTGTGTATACGTTGCATTTACAGCGACGTAAGATCGTTAGGAGCGAAGAGATATACATACGTATACTTACGCTTGTAATAACCCGGTGTTTACGAGACGTTTACCACGTGGAATATCTAGCGGTATTTGGTGTCGTTTATAGTCAGCAACTACTCCAAGTAACATGTACGACGTGTTAATGGTATATACTCGCGAAAATGTACTCGGCACGGTGTTCCTCGATAGACCTCTCGCTCACCTGTCGTCGCGCTTCTGGCCGTCGATCGCTGTGAGCACAAAAATCGATCAAAGGAGAAACGATGACGAGTGCGCCGAAGTCTTTAATGCACTCCTTGTGTCTTTGACTATGATATTTGATGGATCACGTTGAGGTCTCCGCACAGCAGAACCTTAACTGTTCGTCCGGTCATTTGTTCCATGTTTTCACTGTGCCATCGAAGCGATCCCGAACCGGATCCCGAGACACGTCCTATAATCCTTAGTATTTACTTCGTTAAGTTGTTACACATGTGCATACGCATTTACATTCGCTAGCCAGTCCGTTTTTTCCGTAATCATCAGTGATCGCTGTTGATTACATGTTAAAGATATGTTTAAATGTAAAATACGATGTTTCTCAAAGCGCTATGTAATCGTAGAGCGAAAATGACCAGAGTTGGAAAGCAACGCGTTAATTATAACGTTTGTTGTTGTGTCATTACAAGTTATTTTCTTTTAGTGACAACTTGGTAACAGCGTTATTCTTTTTTAGTAAAGATAACGACAATTTTCTTCCTTGAATATAAAATAAATATAATCGTTACTTTCTTATCGATACTTCGTATAGGTGGAATATATGTACATGAGGTGGACGGCAATGAATTGTAAGAAAATCTTCAAAACTCGATAAAAAAAATAATAAAAATTATAACTATAATTGTAACGAAAAATTATAACGTGAGTAACGATAACGGTGATAAGTTACTTTTAAAAAGTAACTTTCAACTCTGGAAATAATTTTTGAGACATCTCTATTCGCACGAAATTCAAGTAAACACTCCAGATATCAGTTGCTTTGATTTTTCCGTAAATTCTCCAGGAATAAGTTAACAAGAGATAATTCGACAGCTTTTTAGAACAAATAAAAAAAAGTACAACTCTCACTAAAAGAATTTTCTTGTTGTTAAAGTATTTGTCTTGTTATCTTCTTTTGTGCTCGGGTGTTTCTTCATCCTGATTCTGTTAAAAAAAACAGTTGATAAATTGTGCTGAACGATGTTAGCATCACTTATGTATATACCATTGTATCGGCAAAGTATCATGAACGTCGCACAACTCAATTAAATGTCTACGCGTAAATCAATGGGGATTAATATATCAAATATATGATGGGTTGAATTCGCAAATAGCAATACACTATTTGTATAGAAATGTATGTACATAGATTCATGAAAGGACTCGGATAATCTTGAAGTCTTGTGTCGGAGGTGTATCGATTTTAGAGTTGGCCGTTTTAGTTACGGTAGCGTAACTTTGCGTGCATAATCGATGTAAAAAAATAAACAAAGAGAATGAGAAGGAGCGATATATGTGCAATAAGAATTTTCAAATGGTCCAAATCGAGTGTATTTATATGTTTATAGTAATTTATTTAATGCTTACTTTCTCTCTTTACGTGCCTGTGGTTTTATCCACATGAGCAATGCTATATTTATTTGGTAAAACTCTTTCAATGTGTATCCTCGTAGTTACATCTGAGATCTAGCGCAAGAGATAATTACATGCTGGGAAACGAGAAATATTCTTCAATGTTTAATCACACTTTGTATCAACCCCCTTTGATGTAATTTATGGGTACCGACACTACGTATGATTTCAGCTTTACACACGACGTTGTAATTTATACACATATTTTTTATATATATTTAATAAAAAGAATTAATATACATACATGTGTGTGTGTTTTAATGGTGCGCGCGATTTTTGGAACAGTTCTCCCGCTAGTCACTTCAGATATGTATGCATGGTTAAAATTTACTTGCACAATGTATTACTTGAGGAGGAGTGTTTATCTCTTGTGCGTAAGTTTTTCTAAAATAACTTTATTAGATGTCCCAATTTTCAGTGGGAATTTTCATTCTAACTGAAAGTGTACGAGAATATGGATGTTAGCATATAATGATCTATCATATATGTATGTGTATCATACATATATTACGTGTATCTACTATATGTGCTACATATATGATAAAGTAAAATTATATGTAACAACGCAAGGAATTCTTTAATTGCAAATTATTTCATTTGTGGTGGGATATCCTTGTTCGAGAAATATTAGCAAACGAATGTTTGTTTATGATCGGTTCTATTAAGTACGATACATTAATAATAATAATTATATAATAATATTATTAATAATAATGTTAATTATTAATATTTAATATAATAATAGTAATAATAATTTAGCTTGTATATGTAACCCAAAATTCTTTACACGTCTCTATATGCGTCAAAGAGATATTTTGCACCTTTCGCAATTCTGCTGAACTGAAAACGCAATTTTTGCGCGCAAGAACGTATTGCCTTGCTCTAAATAAAAATAAAATTTATTTACAATAAAAGCAAATCCACCAGTTCAATTAAAAATGATAATTGTAATAAAAAGTAAGTTTTATATATATATATATATATATATATATATATATATATATATATATATAATAAAGAATAAATTTTCCGTCCACAGGATCTAACATAAAAAATCTACAAATCGATTAGATCGGTGCAAACATCCGAGAATTTGTTGGTGCAAAACATTCTTTGATATACGAGAAGTCTCCTAAAATAATAGAAAAAAGATTTAATAATATAAATTTAATATCTCTCTTGCTATGATATCCGTGCTACTATATTATCTTTGATAATGGAACTATAAAAGTGTCTACGTGAGTATACAATTCTCTACAATTTTATACTATACTATATCAGCCGTGCACCATGAGCCGTCTGCCATTATGAAGATCGTAACTGTTTCTATTTATATATATATAAAAAAAGATAAAGAGAAAACTGTACTTATGACATTTATTTGGCAAAATATTTTGTCGTTAAGAGACTTCAATAAAACAGAATTTCCCCTACGCAACGAAATTCAATGGCATTCTCGGCCAATATTTACATCAGGCGGCTTAATCGTAATAAACGTACTGCGATAATATCTTGCGATAACGTAATAAAGTAATCTTTTCGTTCATTGCAATTCTTCCCGCTGCAGCCCGGTCGACGGACGGGCGAGAGTCGCGCGCCGACCGCGACTCGCATTTAACACAATTCCAGTTGTAACTGAAATTTATAAGAGATCGTGCTTATATTATACACATGAGATACTCGGAGATAGAGTTACATCGCATAACGGTGTGTTCCGGCGGATAAAACCGCAACTGAACGACGCTCTCGCCGTAATGGAATGGATCGAGTCGCGCGCGTGAACAAACAATAATTACCGTTTGTTCCGTGGAAAGAAAACCCAAGTGGGAATTCCGTCTCCTAGCGTTAACGAGAGGAGCAGACGTACCTTCTTCCTTCCTTTCGAGAAACAACAAAGACACTTCGACGTATTTCGGGATAGCACCAACCACGGTGAGACGCAAGGAGCCGCGCTGTTACACATACATGTTCCCTTCCTTCGGATCACGCTCGAGAGACGATGGAGAGTCCCCAAAATACTCGAACACGTCCGGTATCAATCACCCGAGTCGAATCGACTCTGTCCGTGCACTAGAGGGAAAGGACACTAGCTGCTGTAGCACGTCTTGCGCACGTCCGCGAGTATAACACTGAAATCGTCGTCGGCCTTGGACACGTGTTCCATGCTCTGCGTTTGCTGCTGCGGCTGATGCTGCTGCGAGGCTGGATGTTCCGAGTACTTGGACACGTCCAAGCTCTGATGATACTGCTCCATAGTGTGGCCGAGGCCGACGTTGGCGCAGCGAGTGTCCTTGCCTTGGTCGTCGACGATGCACTGGGAGTTCGATATGTCTAACTGCGACTGCTGCTGCTGCTGCTGTGGGGCTCCGTAGTAACGCAGATCGCTGGCGTAGTTGTGATTGCTGTCCAGCATACTCTGCGAAGACAGACTCGAGTGCGCCACGCTCGTCGGATGAGAATACTTGAAATACTTTTCCAGCTGCAGAGCCTGCTGCTGATCGTCCTCCGGTCCAGTCATGCCGGGATCGATGTGGCCGAGGATTGCGTGTTGCTGCTGTTGCTGTTGTTGTTGCTGCTGCTGCTGCTGTTGAGCGCTGCTGGACGTATCCGTCTGGTATTCCTGGTGATGGGACATTTGGTATCTGTGCGTCACACCTGCAAGAGATTTTTAGTTGACGACTGAACAAAATTATGACATCCCTCATTGAATATAATGAGCGTATATAATGAGATTAATTATTTACAGCGTTGAAAAAGTTGTTTTTCAAAAGAAATTCGTTACCCATTAAAAAAAGGTAAATTGTTATCGTCGCTCGTTTTTAAGAGTAATTCCTTATCGTTATTGTTATTGAAGAAATAACGAGTTGTTGTAATTTCTGTTGCATTATTTTTCGCAAAATTTTGGAAATCCCTTTTTACGATTCAGCACCACTCATATCATGTATACAAACTGGGCGTTGAAGTCTTTACACGTGAAGTTATATCCTTCTAAAGCGTAGAAAGTACTTCGTCACGGTTACCCAAAAAATGTAATTGCGTTACCGTTACTAACGGAGAGAAATAACGCCGTTACCAACCAACGTCGTTATTGAAAAAGAGTAATTTGCAACGGTAACAGCGTTACTTGCAAGTAACTAACGCGTTACTTTCCAATCCTGATTATATATTAATCGTATCATCGTCCGAGGATCCGCCTTAATCAATCGATACTCGTCGAATGAGTATTCCAGCGTATCTAGAAAAATTTGGCGCTCCCTCGCACTTTGGGCTTTTCGTATTTCGCATGCACAAGCAAGAAGAACGTTTACCGGAACAACTTTCGGTGGGCCCGCGGATTCCTATGGATTGCTGCCGATTGCCACACTGGACTGGCGTGTAATTGCCCTCGACGGTGGACTGCATCGAATAGCTTGCGCTCTTGGAGGATTGTGTGCCGCTGTAATGCTGCAACGATTGATCGTGCGGCGAAGCGACCGGCGGATAAAACGTGCCCGTGACGGAACCGACGTTGTCGAAACCGGAGCGCAGCTTATTGCACGACACCATCATACCATTCGCTATACCCACCGCGGCTATACTCGTCGACTGTCTCTCGAAGTTCAAGTATCCCACCTGAGTGGACAGAATATATCATGACATCCAACGCTTCATATCAGCTTGTCGCAATACAATTCAGTATAATAAAAAAAAAAAGAAATAAACTTTTCATGTTATTCTCTGAAATTTTCCCAGTGAAATTGTAAGTTTCGTGAGTTTTGGTGTAGTAAAAGTTAAGACTTTATATTTTGAAGCTTAGGATGGTATTCCTCTATTAGACTCCTCAAAATATTTCAGTTACACAATGACATAAAATTTATTATTTATTTCTTGAATAAAAACGTTTACTCGACGATTCAGGGGCCAGATTCTCGAAAATATCTCGCATACGACATTTAGTGAAAAGCTATAGTTCATTTTACGTACATTATAGCTTTTCACTAAATATCATATGCGAGATACTTTCGAGAATCTAGCCTCAGGGCGAAAAATTCGCTCTATATGAGTGTAAAAAATCACCCGAATATCTCAGTTCGACCATTTTACTTTAAGTGGGAATTTCACTCAGAGAAATTTAAAGAGCATCATATTGTTTCTAAAGTCGCGAGTCGTATACGTACGGATTTTTTATACGTTAACGTGTCCGTGTAACCGCCGGAATTCTGACACGATGATATGCTAGTGTTACCAGCATGACCCGTGTGCAATTGGCTGTCGTTGCTCATGAATGTGTATCGCTTCGTTTGGTCCGTCATATCCCCGTGCTGTTTCGAGGTGCCTTCCATCAGATCTCGTTCCGGGTCCGGATTCTGGGTGGACGGTAGATGACCGCCATCGCCTAGTTATATAAATTACCTCGATGTGATGATTTCATAATTATATAATCATATCTAACATTTCTGTCGAATCGAAACGTAATGTATACGAATTATTAACCCCTTCCCCGCAATGGCTTTATTGTTGGAATTATACTATATTGATTACTCCGATGGTTCCACAATTGTGAAGTTATTACAATTAAAGACTTTTAACTTTTTATCACAATTAACTTTTTATTACAATTAAAGTACTTTTTAAGCAAATATAAGGTTCGAAATGAGTTCTTGGGGAGTTTTCATGTTTATCAGCGATTACGTCACATACTTTTCGGTCAATTCAAATTTGCGACATGGCCGCAAATCAATTAATATCAAGAGTCATACATTTAGTGTGTGAATTTTGAGGTACGTAGATTTATTCCTTTTAGCTGCATTGTCTGAACTGGTGCAATAAGTTAGAGTAAGACAAATATATTTGGTTTCACTCTAACACTGCACCAGTTTGAACTAGTTCGGACAGTTCAGCTAAAAATAACAGATCTCATGTTACATAACGACTGAAAAACGATATTCTTTCTTTTTTTCTTTCATCTGTACGACATCGTCTGTAGTGTCTGAGAGATTTACCGTCAGGCTCGGGACTGGCCACTGGAGATATGTCCGGAGTGTGGATGATGGGGGTGTAAGGGCTACCGTAGAGCGAATTGTTTTCCGATTTGTACTCCTGGATACCCTGCTGCTGTTGTTGATGATATAGGGATGAGATCGGGGAATGGCCACCCCACGGTATCTGAGGTATGCCCTGGTAACTGTCCATCTTGGACCTTGAACGCGTCATGCATACATTTAACACTTACATAATAGCGTGCGACGTTATCGCCTAATTACATTGCGACGCCGCTGATGACTTCAGTCGCGCATCTTCTTCCTGCGCGCGACTCACGATCGTAATTTTAACGATGCGACCTATCAACTTTCAACACCGCGTGATCTTCGTGACTCAGAATCACAAATTGGGATTTTACGTTATTCTCTTTCGAGTTAATCGAGAAATATTCAATAAAAAAGGAACACACATTACAGGGATTCCTTTTCTAAAAATTAAAACAAGTTGCAGTTGGCTAAAACATACACGGTATATTGTAGTAGAAATTACGACAAAATCTTTGTAATCTTGAACCATACGGAATTATGACCGAAATTACTATATATTTCTTCAAGAACATTATGTCTCTTTGTTTTCTACTGTATCGTAATTACTTGAATGTTTTTTATATCGTGCACTCAATAGATTGTCAAATTTCAGTAAGTCTAGCTTTACAAAAGAGATGTAAAAAGATATAATCTTAACGTAATTTTTACTACAATATTTTCTCCGTGCATAAATATGTGCACTCAGTCCGTAATGCTTTAAAGAAATACTCAATAAAAAGGCCTGTCCAAATAAACTTGCTTAATGCACAAGAAAATGGACGTATGTCCGATATAAATTGTTTCACTATACTTTGCAAGAACTGTTCCGGTATCCGCGGCATAAATGCATGCTGAAATAATTATAGTTGGAAACTCTATTTATATACAAAAGAGTGACACTAGAATATTAGCAATAATAATTTCATGTGCATACTGCTGCTTTCCTGTTAGGACAACAAAGAGGTACGGTAATAAATGACTGTAGTCTGTAGTGAGATTAAGAATTGGTTGATCACCTTGTGCGTATGTTCCATACGACTATGCAAGTTTGCCTGGATAGACTCTAGATTATATCGTCCATCCGTCTACATGAAGTTCATTCGATGAAAAGTTTTTCTCTTGAATCGCTCACAACTCGGAAGCTACAAAACGCCTCGTGTTCCCGGCGCAAAAGAGGCAAAATCAACCTCGAGAAATCGATCGAGAAATCTATCATTACAAGCACGAACGGTGAGACGTTCCCCTTTAATGTATGAATGAAAAATTTAAATGCCTAATCTAATCTGAGACACGCAACGTTAATGTTACATCGAAATCGCGATGTCATCGTCGGCGCTTCGTTTAAATCTCGCCAGGATCTCTCAATTAACTCGGCTCACATGCGCGTACCTTCATTAGCCGCGGAGGTATGGGGCAGTATCGACTTACATGGAATGATGAATCGTCGGGCCCGCGGGGTTGGACCTGTTGCCCGCGGTGTTGGTCGCGGAGGGAGGTGAGGACGGTGCACCGGGTGTCCGTTTCGCGTGCTTCCTACGTCGCGGTCTGTACTTGTAGTTCGGATGCTCCTGCATGTGTATGACCCTCAGCCTCTCGGCCTCCTCGACGTACGGCCTTCTGTCTTGCGGCGTCAGCCCTCGCCACTTCTTTCCTGAAGAAGCGCGTGCAGAGAATTTCCCGGTGAGAGATACAAAACACGCGCGGAAAACAGCCGGGGAGGAGGGAGAAGGGAAACGGCTTGGCTAGTGCTACGGATGCTTACGCGACGACGCGTGCAAAGCGATCGTAGAGACACACGGGATATGTAGATTCTTACCGTCGTTCTCCTGGAACTTCCTGCGCCGCATGAACAGTCAAGACATAAAGGATATAATGTAAAACGATGTTAGTCAGTGCGCGAGGATTATTAAGGCAAATGTACCGATCTATGAACGGCTAGGAGCACTATGAGAGAATGGTATATAAACCTTAGTCATAGCGCAATTAATATTAGATATAAAAAGTTTCTCGGGATAGTCGAATAAAATATAAAACGAAATTACACAATTTCGGAGGGTTAATAATCGTTACGAAGGAATGAAACATCAACTCGATATTTTTTTAGATATTTAACGAGAATTTCTTTTTTTTTTTCTAATATCCAAACTTTCTATGAAAAGTTAATAGAAAACTGACAAACTTCTCTCTCTTTTTCTAATCTAATATATCAGTTAAAGATTAAACTATTTCTAAGAATAAAAATGAATTAATTGAAATACTGAACTCTTAATAAATGAAACATTTTGTAAAGTAAATGTGTCACTATGCCTGAATCATTTTATGCAACAAATTCTTAATAGAATCAACAAATTGAACTTATGCTTTACATTTCATTTTAAATAGAAAATTTTAACTTATTTATTCTTATAATTCAGAAAGGCTTCAATTAATTTTATAAATGATTTCTGATTTCTTCTAATGAGCATCAATAGCGCTAGAAAATTTTTCCTCTCTTGTGCGCGAACAAATAAAAAATAATTAATAATTTTATAAAAAATATAAATTCACGTGGAAATAAGTGGATGCTGTAATTAAAACTTTAAGATGCAAGAAAACGTTTTGATTCTACATCGTTTTTTTTATTCTAGTCCCAAGATTAAAATTACGAAAACGTGAAGGATTAAAGACCAGTTTGATTTGATCTTTTGCCTTACATCAGCATTGGTGTGAAATATATCGTAAGTAAAAAATCGCGATTCTTCTCTTCTCCGGATCTTTCGCTTTGTCAGACGAGACAAACAAAAGGTCTATCAAACACGAAATTACTCGAATCAGAATCACTGCACTGAACGAAACTGACTGGAGAAGCACACTTTCTGACGAGTAACTTCAATGTTGTCCACTTGTTACCTCGTTCGAGACCCAATTCACCGGAGTGTCCGAATTATTCGGAGACGTCAACGAGGCGAGAGGTGACATCAACAACGTGTGCGCGCATTTCTTTTACAAGAGATCCAGAGGAGATCGACGAGATCGCGTTCGCGAATAAACCCGATAAATTACACGTCCTCGCGACAATGGGATAATGTTACCTCGATATCCCGAAATCCGATAAAATCGTCGGTCGATTCCTTTGGCTAACGACGCGCTTAATTCGGCTCGCGAGCGCAGCCCTATATCGCGGCAACAAACGATACGCGGCGTAAAACGAGCACAGAAATCTCTCTTTCTCTCTTTCTTCCTTGTTCTCTCTCTCTCTCTCTCTCTCTCTCTCTCTCTCTGTCTGTCTGTCTCTCTCTCTCTTCCTCTCCTGCCGGTACATATACACAACGTGCGGGAATATACGTACTACAGGTGGGCTTGGTCGGCCGGGTCTGACGACCGGCTGGAATCTGCCTCAGTTGCGTTCAATATGCCAACATGGTAGGCCGGAATATCATTAAGCGAGGCATAAGGGTTAATACGAACGTAAGATGTTCGCGACAAGAAGGAAAAAATTGAGCGCGAGGCGGATGTATATATGGCGTGCGGCGTACATATGTACGCACGCGGGCCACGCCGGTATATATTGTGTATATACATGCACACACGCACACGCGCGCGCGCATACATACGTGTATGTGCGTGCACATGTGTATGCACATGTACATGTGTATATACGCACGGTCTGTATAGGTATATAGGCGCATGGGGGCGTAGATATGGGTGCGCCCGTGCCTTCAGCCAGCCACAAGGCACGAACCATTATTTCATATTTCATTTTGTGTATTTCAACTCCGGAGGAGAGACGCTAACCCAAAGGAGGAGGAGGAAGAGGAGGAGGAGGTGGACGGAGGGCGGAAATAAGAGGAAAAACGAGCGAGTCGGTCATCGCAGAAATCGCTGTCGAAAACGCGCCTTTTCGCGTTACATCGCACGCGAGATCGCTCGTGATCGCGACATGAGTGTTTTCTTTATTCTCTCCTGACAGACGTCCGTTAGCCTTCACGGCAACGACGAGGAACGAACATTTCCGTAGGGTCTCGCGAATCGCGGGAGGACCGTCGTCGCTTTTGTCACCCGTAAACCCGATAGTAAAGCCTTTCTCGACGACTTCTCGTTTCACTCGTGTCCCGGCCACGCTTCGTCCTTTCTTCTTGTACACGAAAAAAGAATCGTATAATTGAGAGCGGACCAGACAAAAGCTCAGTGAGAAGCAGTCTCTTTGTCGCGACCGTCTTCTTCGCGACCGAGAACGTTTGTCTAAACATTCGGCTGGGTTACAAATCGGTTAACTCGGTTGCATCATCAAAGGAGATTTGAAAGTCATATTACTAAATTCTCTCCTTACTCAGAGATCGATTTCAAATGTAATAAAACGAGTCAAAAACACGACTTTTGTTATTCAACTCGCCTCTCAGATATATTTCTTTTAGTAAGATTTCTTCTTTCAAACATAAAAAATATGTACTGTATTCATGTAAATGTTACTTGTGTTCCAAGTATTTCATAAGTTTATATATCACCAAATTAACTCATAATAAGCTCATCATAATTTATTCAAAATATATTCTGGATTTTAAGTTTAGCGCTTTAATAAAAAATATTAAATTAAAACAAAAATTTAGTTTACTTATTGTACAGAGACAAATCAATTTTTCTCTTCGACAAAGTTTTATAATATTTTGTAAAGAGAATAAATTCTTCTTTTGAGAATTTAACTTCTATATGAGCTTTTCTAAAATTTGTAATGAGTATACTTTATGATTATTATGAAGACAATATACTTTGCTGAAGATAATCAGTATTTAAAAGAAGGAAAGCAAAGTAAGTAATCGTTTTTTTGACAGATGAAAAAATAATATTTTTCTTTGTGCAGTGCGAAATCGGGATTTGAAAAATTCAGTGACAACAGCCAGGTAAAACGAACAAATAATACAAATATATCGGCTTCTGACGCGAGTGAGTTGAGATAATTGAGTTGAGATAACTGAGAGAACATTTGAATGTAAATAATGAAAACTTTCTATAAGAATCTTTCTAAATCTTTCTACAGCCGAATTTTGATCTAGCACTAGCAACAGACCAAGGAAGAGAAATTCAGTTGTGCGAGTTTTTCTTCCGAAACACTTATTAATACTAGATTTACGGGACCCGTTAATTTGAGGTTTCAGGTTTCGGATTTCACGAGCAAAATTATATAAACTATTATTATTTTTTAGCAATTTTTGTTGATTTATTAATCGAATGATACGAATATATATATCCAAATTATTCATTTACTCCTCAGACTTCTAATTTTGAAATTCTCTATGTCGTATACCTATTTCTCCGGATACCTGTCAGATTATCCCGTAAATCTTGTGTTAATATTTCACATGAATTTATTTAAAAATGAATTGTAATATACGTTTAACAGCGATTGGCTTTCACAGACCAGGTATTATTTTTATTACCAGGTATTTATTTCTTCTTTTTGCCGTGTACGAAGAAGAAAAAAGATCGAGCAACGGCACAGCAAATGAGAGAAAGAGAAAGAGGACATTTTCTCGGCTAACAATAAGTAAACTCAATTTTAATATTCCTGAGCGCACTCTCGCTCGCGTGCGCGTGCGCGAGCGGTGAGTTATCCGGCGGTGATTCATCATCACACCCGCGCACGCAGCGTCCCACCGTGATGTCCTCGTTAAGTATTCTAATGGTTGGCGTGTACCTCTAATTTAGCCGGCTAGGCCGGGGCCTAGTCGGACGACTTCATTAATTTCGATGTTTCCGAGCAAAAGAGGGCCGACGTAGGATTTGGGAGCGTCCTGCCCTCACGGCGGTCTGGGTCAAATCGTCGCTGGAGTTCGAGCTTTGTTCGCCGTGTGGTCTTTCTGTGTCTGTCTCGTGCGTGAAATGCAACAACGAGTGGGTTCGCGGTGTTTCTCTCTCTCTCTATCTCCCTCTGTTTCTCAACTCCGCGTGGAATACGAACAAACGCGACGATTGCTGGCGAATTTCTCGATTACACTCCTTCGCGTACACTTAGGCCCGTATTTTAATAATCATTACTTGAAAAATGTCCCACGCGAGATACTCAGATATGAATTTGAAGCCAGGTTTGAGACTTTTACTTGAATCACACCGGAACTTGGTGTGGAGGTTTGATTAACGTGAGTTTGGAATGATTTTAGTGTATTGAATTAACTATAGGGGATCAGACAGGGAAAATTATATAGGAATCGGATGAGATAAGGAAGCAAAATAATGGTACACGGAAGAAAAATGACACAAGGACAGATACTGTGCAAGTAAGAAAAGTAAAGTACAGAAAATAAAAGGAAGATATAGTAAACTTTTTCTTGGCGGTTAAAGCTGAAGGGGACATATAAGAAGTGAGGAAAAAGAGAAATCACTTCATGGACTTAATAAGAAGTATAGAGTGGAATAATGGAACTAATAAAATATGGAAGAAGAATGGAGCCTTAGATATATGTATTAATAGTCGTTACTTGAAAATGGACTCGAATATCTTGAACTGAATATCTCGAGTGAGATATCTAGATCTGAATTTCGAGTTAGATGTAAATTTCTTGACTGTGTGAATCGCGGTTACAAATATAATATCATATATATTATATAATAACGAGTAAGAAACTCGGATCTAACTTTAAATTTAGATCTGAATATCTCAGGACAAGTTTCAAGCAA